ACTTTAGAAATAGTCAAAACTAGTTTATGGACAATACTTTTGTTTTATAAAGCAGAAAACGGAGTGTAGTGTATTAGTGGCACATCTCACTGAAAACATCATACTATCACAGACTGCACACAGATGGACGATGCTAACCCTCAAACTCAATGAAGTCCGATTGGGATGTGTTCGTAGACAAAGTTTTTCTCCAACTTGCTCTGACTTCTGTGGATTTACCTGAAACTTTTTTTTCACACTCACCATTTTGTGCTTAAAGCGGTTTAGCACTCATCTTAGCATCTTGGTGACTATTTTTTTTTATCATGGTCTATACTGTAAATCCAGCCATAAGGATTGACCAATCAGATGCAGACAACCAAGGGGCACTCTCCATCTTCCTTTCGCAACCAAGATAAGAGATGACCAGTATGGATCTCGCAACACACCTGCCCCTGTTCCTGAGTGAGGCTAACCCCATCGGGTAAGGAATGAAAAAAGCAAAGTTACATGTTTGTATTGCCAGAAATTCCTGATATGAACGTGGATGGAGCTAAAAACCACTCCGGGTCTCACACTAATGCGAAACAATGTTATTAACAGTTCATTAAAGTCACAGAATATTTCTCCTTTAAAGTAAAAAGATCCTTGTCCCTATATACTCTCTAGATATTTTCCTAAAGTGCCAATGTAACGGTAGCAAAGCAAAGTGGAAAGCAGCAAATTTTGTTTTCATTTGTGCCAAAACGCCTATGCCACGCTGCTGAATCATTCATAATTCACTCATAAAACAGAGACGCACTGTGACCAGAGTAACTAAAGATTACTCAAACACACATCAGTCCAAATTTAACTTTGCGTGTGTACAAGCAAAGTCCATTTCATACTGTTTGACTCCCAGAATAATGAAACTACAAGAAGTCCCATCGCTGCTCCCATTCAAACCAAGGAATTTTGAGAAATCCCCGTCAAAAATGTTTAGTTTTTCATAAATTTTATTAAAAGTAAGCTTTTTTTTAAGCTAAGATTGAAGTGCTAAGACTGGATAAAATCATGTGAACTACAACAAAAACATTTAGTTGAACCAGATGCTAACGGCTAGCAAGTAAACAGTGTGTTGCTATGGTAACTATGGTCACTTGACTCAACCTAGAACCAGTCCTGGACCAGAACCTTAGAAAGTTTGTTACCAAGCAAGCAAAAATGGCATGAATTTGAGTTAAAGATAGAGCTCCTTATTTACCTCTTTCATAAAGATCATGACTCTGGGTTTATCTGGAACAATCCTCCTGAAAATGTGAGACAGGCCTTTTCTCTGATCATGTTTAAATCCAGGATAGGAACAGTTCTGTTTAGCTGCATACAACAGAAGTATTTTATATTTGTATCTTTCTTTTTAATGTATTATTTATTACTTGAATGCCTTATGTGATTGTTTCTATCTTACAAATAAACTTGCCTTGCCTTGACATAGAATAAAGCTCTATACAGATGCAGAAAAAGTCAGAAAGCTTGGAAGACCAAACATTTACATAAGATGAGCGAATACACTTAAAAAACTAAAGCTTAATCTCTCTGGTCCACCCTGGCTGCAGCCCTTCACGTATGAAAAAAAACATGTCCTCTTACAATCTCTCCCTAATAAAACCTCGCACTCTGACTGGAATAAAATCGCTCATTCACATCCGAGGGCGAACTTATGTCGGACGCTGGGGTTTGGTGTCGGCCATTTAATTACCGCCGCAGCCGTTCCCTTTAAAACACATGTCATCTTCCCATGGAGCGGGGGAAGGGCGATGATGGAGCACCCATGGGTGACTTTCCAGGCTGAAAATAGAACTTGCCAATTATATAAAGTTGTGGTTATGTATGTGAAGTTATTGGACAAAGCTCTTCAATACAAAACATGTCTCTATCGTTATTTCAAAAGCATATTTTACATTTTTAAAACAAACTTACTGTATATGGGGTACTTTTGAACTACCGTGTGGACTAAGCTTTATGATCTTTCTAAAAATCCCTGAACACAACCAGCATTTGCATTGTAGGACAAGAGAAAAACTTTAAAGGGCACCTAATATGTAAAATTGATTTCATCCCTGTTTTTCATCCGCCATGACATTAAAAAAAAAAACACTGAAAACCCCAACTGCTGCTATGTTGTTGCTTTGTTGCTGTGATGATTTTTTTCCGCAAGGGGCAGGAAGTTTTTAGACAGAAACCAGCAGACTCAAAATATGATTGTTTTTCATTTGTGCTAAAAAGTTAGTTGGTTATTCCTAATATAAATGAATGAATGTGTCACTGAGGGCAGCTCAAAACTAATTAAAACGAGTGTATGTGAACTTGGGTGTGACAACCCCCCACTCCCCACCCACCCCTCCCCCTCTCATTTTATCGCTCATAAATCCATACGCTAAATGGACGCTGTTTTTATGGACACGTGCGCGCGCCTGCTGCTACTGCTGCTACTGCTGCTACTGCTGCCACTGCTGCTGGCCTCCCCCGGACAGGGTGATTTGCGAGCACTTTGTATTCTAATAAAGAGGTTGTGAGTTAATATGAAACGTAATTGGAGTTTGCAAAGTGGAGGGATGGTGACTGCGCGTGCACGGGGATAGGGCCTCTGCATTTGTCCACATAGGAATAAAAGTTGATATGGCTGAATCATGCCATTAAACAGAATAGGAGTATGTATATATATTTATGAATGATGTGTATTCAAATGAAGGTCATAACACTAATAATTATTTTCCATCAGAGGCTATATCCATATGAACATGACTTATGTAACAAGCTGCGTCTGGCAAAACTCGGCCTTTGGGCACATTTCTAAGATCCATGAGTCACTGATGGCCTAAACTTGTGATAACATAAACTAAATTCATGGCAAAATTGATTGGACTCACGTCATTTCAAGTATATTTGCATTTTGGGCATTTGATTTGATCAGTAAAAGCTTGGGGTATACTTTAAAATATTTTGAATTCAGACACATAACAACAATGATACCTCCTCAATTTATCATTTCAAGTCAAGTCACTATAATCCGGTTTATCAGATAGTGCTAAAACCATCTGAAAGCTCGTATTTGTTGAAAAGTTTAAAACACCTCTATAATACTTGTCTTGGGTGCATTTTTCTCATCCATAAAAAGTTACATTTACGCAATTTACGTGTCTTCTAGAAATGCAAAGACCGAGACCTTGTTTTGGCCGATACCTTATGGATAATGTGCAGAAGATGAATGGCCCCTATACGCCCGCACACGCACGCCCCACACACACACACCTCTGGACTCATTTGCATAGACGCGCGCTGCCAGGGAACCATAGACTGCGTGGAGGACTTTGGGACAGCAGCAGCAGCAGCAGTGAAATTGTTAAATAGTTTTCCGTTGCGCTCAATTAGACACGCGAATCTATTAAGGCTCCTACGTGTTCATGTGTGCTTTATGTAAGTGGTGCGTTAATTGGATGTGGGGAGAGCAAACATATAGGTCAGTGAAAAGATGTTGGCAAAAAGCGTATAACTAATGACGATATGTAAGAGAGTGAATCACAATATTATGGCAAAATAAACCATAATCAACAAATCTGCCTTTGTCTCCAAACGATTTAGAAATGATGAATCGTTGGGCTGAATAGTTCAAATTAAGAGGACAGTGATGCTCCGTAATGTTTATTAAAATTTATTGACATGTTCCTTCCGCTCCCTATGGATCTATGGCTCCTAATATGTTTGTTATTACTGCATTGCGTTCAAACTGTTAGATTCTCTGATCTGTTGTTTGTGAATCAACAACTTTGTAATGTTCTCCGTAACTGTTGTGTGTTGTAGGGCTGTAAAAAAGTATTGAAATCAAATGCCTTAAAAGTTTGTTTTAAGGTCACAATTCAGTTCAAGATCCAATTGGAATCCCTTGAACCTTTGGTCAGTGTCGTATTGACTTGAATATGGAATAGATCTCTGCCCCATGGTGAGGAGAAAAACGTAAATAAAACTGGTCAGAATTATTTAAAATGAACCACTTTACTACTAAATGTGTCTAAATAATTACCATATAGTCAAGAGTATGTACCACAGTTTAGGAAGAGAGCCACTGTCATAATCTGTGGTGCACTATAAAGTACATTAAAAAAGTGTCATGCCATAAAAACTTTTACGCACAGCATGTTTTGCGTGAAGTGACAAACGTGTGCGTGTCACAGGCCGAGACGGGGCGACACCTGGTGGCATGCGACGTCGTGAAATGCCAAAACTGTATCTCTAAATAATATGTATGCACTAACTGTGGCTTTTACGCACGGGTGTAATCCAGTCTATATGGTATTTTCTCCCCTCCATGTCTTCTACTGCCACACTACTGCTGCCGCTGCTCTCTTCTTTATCTCTCCTCCAGTGCACAAACATACAGCTTAATGCGCCCAGTGTTCCCCCTCTTTTTATGGAGCTCTCCATGGCGACCCGTGCGCGCGGCTCAGCAATGCGCTCCCCATCAATGAAACCGCGCGTGAGAAAGAAAAAACTGCAAAAGAGGCTGCTTTCCTTAAAAACAATCTCAACCTTCCCAGCACTTTTTAACACAACTTTCTCGCAAGTATTTGTCACATAGGTCGTTTTTATTGCCAAAACCTTAGCGTGCGTAAATGTCGAAATAGAGTTTCCCGTGCGTAAAAGTGCACACAAACTTACATACGTCGATTTTTGGGTGAAAGGGGATCTCTGGGGTTTAAATGGAGTGGGGGTCTCTGGGTTGGATCCCCCCCGCTACTACAGCAGTGCTATAGCCCCTTCTCCTCCTCTACAACGCGGCTTAAACTCATGATTGATTGCGCTTTTCTCCGGTGGACGCTCGCTTCGTAAAATAAGGCATTCTATCTATAATTCTGAAAATCTGGCAAAATAAAAGGGAAGATGAAGATGAAACGGGTTGAAATAAACAAAGAGCGACAAGAAAGCGAATGACAGCCGCGAAAAAGCAGGCGAAAATCCCATGATGGAAGTGTATAGGGGCTTACCTCGAGTCCAGACAGCCCGAAAGAGCGACACTTCTCCCGGCTGTGCAAATGCCTCAGCACCGCTCCCTGTTCCTATACCATCCACTGCTGCATGCATGCGCCCTAAGAATTTTCTTTCCTCAACTGAGCAGGAGCACTCGTCGACTCCCGCTATTATTTTCACTAAAATTTATGAAAATTTATGCAAATGAAAATCAGCACTAACTGTTCGTCTCTTGTTATACTTGGGGATGATTTTTTTCCCCTCGCCTCTCTCCCCTTACTTTTTTTTCTCCCTTTTCCTTCTTTCAAAATAAATGAACTCCACAGCAAGGAACTTTAGGGACCTTTTATAATAAGCAAATAAACATTATATCAGGAGTGGAGTTTTCACGCACGGCTGATGCATTCTGTGTGGAGTGTGGGTTTCTGTCAGTCTTTGGTGGCCATATTTTAGCCACTTTGGGGGACTTTTGACGTGGAAATTCTGACTGTATATTCATGAACTATAGGGGCCCTGCCTGCTGGTCCTTGGCTCAGCACTGACCAGTGTAAACAAGCGCAGGACAGGGGCCAAATTGAATCCGCGGGGATGTGAACGGAGCTGTATGGATTCGTATTGATCCTAATTGGGTATTGGCATAAATTAAAGGGGCTTATGGGATGTCAGTGCACACGGAATGTTTAACCCGTTCAGATGGGGACATGGGAAGGCGTGACATTTGGCACAGTTTGACTTTGTAATCTGCATTTTCTTCCCATTTGTCAATTACTCATAATTGAAACTCTCAACACACATTTCATGCAGGCCCATATTTTGGAAACTTCAGGCTGTAATTTTCTATATTGAACAAGTTATATAGCATTTAATGTTTTATTTCAATTTAGCTTTTGGTGCACAATGCAATATTGAAAAATTCTTATTTCTGCTGCATAAAATTATATTGGAATTCTCCTAACGCAGTGTTTAAGATTATATAATGGATTCTTACAGTTTAGAAAAAAATGTCTACCCACAAATCTAACCTCAAGTTTTGTGTCTATATATGTGATTATATTTTCTATATTAATCATAGTTGTAAAATTTAACCTGCCCGAATCCATGGTTTCATTTAAGGCACTTTCCCACCATCTTTTGCGGAGAAATCTTTTCTGAACCTCTTGTGTCATTTGTCCAAACCTGTCCTGCACTGGGAGCCTGTTATCACCCATGGGTGCGTCCATAGACCCGTGGCCCCCATCCCAACAAAGCACCTATTCAGCGCATACTCTACTCACAGGGAGCAAGACATGTGCTCCTCTGGTCCCCGGCACCATGTCCTGGGCAGACGGATCCAGGAGCTGGGCCAGTTCCCGCATCACCACCATCACCCGTGGGTGACACACACAGGTTAAAAGCTGATGTTGTCACTCTGATGACGCACTAGCGTGCCTCAGCCCTGATGCACTCTTGAATATAGAGATGCAGCAGTGTGAGCTGCACCTGCTGAGACCTGTGACACTGGTCAGTGTCGTGTGTCCACAATGACACATGGTGCATGTGTGCGCAGGAGATTCACGGTGTTACGCGCGCTGACCGGGCGGAGGTCACGCTGCCCCTCTGTATCTCTATATTTACTACGAGCCCGTTTTGTTTGGGCTGCAATTAAAACGCAGCCAATCGGAACAGCCGAAGGAGGCTCGCGCTGCCCCGAGCCTGAACTGTCAATCACGGGAGCAGCACCCAATCATTGTTCACGCACGCACACGGAGCGCGTGGGCGGAGCCTGTGAGCCGTGCGGGAGAGAGAGGAGAGCGAGGGGAGAGAGAGAGGGGAGAGAACAAGCGAATGAGAGCAGAGGCTGCGGGCAGCGCCGAGCCGTCCACGGGCTCTACTTGAGCGGGAGTTTGTGGTTTGGCAGCTTTATACACATCAAAACAGAACAAAGAGCTGAACGGCTCATACAGCCTCACACAGGACAAGAAAGACTCATCTGAGACTCAATCACAAACAAGCGGACTCTGCAGCTGCATGAGCGTGTGGACTAAGGACAATTCGCGGAGATTTTCATGTTTTATTATAAGCGAAAGTTTGTTTGGGACACCGCTATTTTTCTGTTCATTTTGAATTTGATGGTCTTCATTTGCAAACTTTGTGCCTGGACTGCACATGTTCCAAAGGGCTTCAGAAGGCGGAATTAAAGTGTATCATGTTGTAATGTGCGGACCGTACGCAGCTGCTGCCTGACACCATTTGAAGTTTGGCGTTTTTACGCACATCCATGAGACTCTCCAAAAGCTCCCCTCACTTTTAAACTTGAATAATTCATGAGATACAATTCGCCCGCTCCAAACAAGTGACTGTAAAAGGGAGGGGGGTGATCACAAACATATTCATAAGGGTTGACGGAATGGCCACCGCGGCTTCCAATCCTTATCTGTCCAGCAATAGCATCTTATCATCCGGATCCATCGTGCACTCGGACTCGGGAGGAGGGGGCATGCAGCCGGGCAGCGCTGCGGTTACGTCAGGCTCGGGGGGCTACAGGGGAGACCCCTCAGTCAAGATGGTGCAGAGTGACTTTATGCAGGGCGCTATGGCAGCGAGTAACGGGGGACACATGCTGAGCCACGCGCACCAGTGGGTGACTTCTCTGCCTCACGCCGCCGCGGCGGCTGCCGCTGCCGCTGTGGCCGCTGCAGAGGCGGGCTCCCCCTGGTCCTCAAGCCCCGTGGGCATGAGCGCCAGCCCGCAGCAGCAGGACGTGAAGGGCTCCAGCAGGGACGAGCTGCACACGGGCACCGCGCTGCACCACAGGCCCCCTCACCTCGGGCCTCATCAGACACACGGGGCGTGGGGCAGCAGCACCGCCGCGCACCTTAACTCCCTCACGGGCGGACAGCAGCAGCAGCAGTCGCTGCTCTACTCACAGCCCGGAGGCTTCACGGTGAACGGCATGTTGAGCCAGAGCCAGAGCCTGGTGCACCCGGGCTTAGTGCGCGGGGACACCCCCGAGCTGGAGCACGCGCACCACCATCACCACCATCACCAGCACGCGCACCACACGCACCACGGTCACAACCACGAGCCACACTCCGACGACGACACGCCGACGTCCGACGACCTGGAGCAGTTCGCCAAACAGTTCAAGCAGCGGAGGATCAAGTTGGGCTTCACGCAGGCGGACGTGGGGCTTGCGCTTGGCACATTGTACGGGAACGTCTTCTCACAGACCACCATCTGCAGGTTCGAGGCGCTGCAGCTCAGCTTCAAGAACATGTGTAAGCTCAAGCCGCTGCTGAATAAGTGGCTGGAGGAAGCAGACTCCTCCACGGGCAGCCCCACCAGCATCGACAAGATCGCAGCGCAGGGCCGAAAGCGGAAGAAGCGCACGTCCATCGAGGTGAGCGTCAAAGGCGCTCTGGAGAGCCACTTCCTGAAGTGTCCCAAGCCGTCCGCGCAGGAGATCACCTCCCTGGCGGACAACCTGCAGCTGGAGAAGGAGGTGGTCCGAGTGTGGTTTTGCAACAGGAGGCAGAAGGAGAAGCGGATGACGCCCCCGGGAGTGGGAGCTCAGACACCCGAGGATGTGTACTCTCAGGTCGGCAATGTGAGTGCAGAAACACCGCCCCCCTCCATGGACTGCAAACGAATGTTCAGTGAGACATAGAACAGAACAGATATTTTATACCAGACTATCGGCTTACACTATACTGTGATTGTGAGGGATTATGACTGCAAATGTCTTATATTTTTCATCAGAAAATCTCAAAGAAAAAAAACTACTTCCCCTTGACCTCCCAACACCCCAAACACGCACCTTCTTCAGGCCCTCAAATGTCATAACCTAAAAGGTACCTTCTGCTTTTTTCTTTCAGGGGCATTTTTTAGTAGATTACTTAAAAGATGCAAGTGAGGCGAGCGACCAGAGGGTGACTACCACAAGTTCATTCCACCAGGTAATTTTGGCGCACTAAGGAACCCCATGCAGTGTTGTGCTTCTCTTCTCCCTGTTCGATGATCCTCCATGTGTGTGTTTAAACAAAGGAGCAGGCTTTTGTATTTGTAGAACTGTGCCCTGACAAGAGGACATCCGGGCTCTTCCAGCATAAACACTTTTGATTTGGACAGCACGTGTTCACTCCTGTCTCCCATACACGCAAAACCAGGATTAGATCTAACACCATGATCCACGCAGGACCCGAACAGGACCGTCCCGTCTGCTCTACTCTTGTTCCCCTTTTTATAATTATTATTTAAAAAGACTTTGACACCGTGAGTGGAATTTTCCTGCCTTTTTTTTCAACAAATAGAGCTTAAAAAGACATTTGAAAAGACTAGCTGCACTTATTTCTGAAAATTTGTTGCCAAGTGTGACTGGGTGGGTGCTGTGGATACACTATAATGCTGCCCTTTCTAAGCAGTATTGTTTTTGGTAGGTTTTAATAAACAAAAACTGTGTAAAGCCGGCAATAGAGACTAGATCAGATATGGTCTGACTTTATTTACGTTCTATTTTTCATCAGAATGACTTGTTTTAATATTTTATTCGGAATACATAATTATTCCAGATGGTAATTTATTTTTTCCTCTCTCCCAGGAACTTGTAAGATGCTTTCTCTTTTATGTTCTACTTAATTTGAATTTTATCTTATTATTATTATTATTATTCCTTTTCTTGTCGCCCATCCTGAGTTGTTTTTCTCTCAAAGCAGCACAATTCATCGTAAGCTGACCGTTGTTCTATAGGTGATAAGGCTATATTTTGATGTGATCATTTGATTGTAATTTAATTTTCAGTAGTGGTTCCGTACGAGCTGATTGAGACAATAAATTTCTTAGAATGAAATGCACGCATGATTTCGTCACTATTGTGCCATTGCTTTGCTCTGTTTCCTTGTTTTGTGTTAAGACTTGGGTTCGTGTGCGTAAAAGCTGCAGCTGCTCTCGACTACACGCAGAAAATGGAGGACTATTTTGTCCCAGACGCGCGCCCATAATCCCCCTTTTATTAGATTCATGCAGAAATCGCAGCGTAGAAAATCAAAATACTGTGCCATTGTTACTACACAGACTAATGAAATAAATGTACATTGTTTTTGTAATAACCAAATGGACCACGTCTGGGTGCGTAAATATGCGTATGAGGCTGTGGTTAAAACCTATGTGCAGGTCTTAAAACAGAGACTCAAACGCACGCGGCAGGCCCTGAGTGAACGCTCCTCTGTTTGTTTACATTTGGCACTGGCTCAGGCCTTACCTCAGATTACAGAGAATTCGCTTAAGCAAGTGCCAGTGATGTAAACAAATGGTGATAAAGTAAAAGTGAGAATGTGCTCCATTAGTGTGTGTTAGTGAGCAGGGTGAGGCGGCTGTGAGAGCTGCTCTGACCGAGGTGAGCGCGCTGACAGCCGCTGGAGCAGCCTCTGGAGCGGCCAGGGCATTGGGTCACTCCGGTTATTGATTGTGTCTCTTGTGCACTTTGCTGGAGATGAACGGTGACGCTCTGTTGACATGATTCATATCAGGAGAGCTGTGCTGAGCCCAGAGCTGAGGTTCCTCCAAAGCTTTGTGAGCGGTGTAAAAATGGGCTTTACAGCAGGCCTGTTCTCTTCACTTACAGCCATGAAATCTTCACGGCTGCGATTCAAAGTTTCTTTCTCTTTGAGCCGTCTTACGCCTATTCAGCAAAACTCACAAAACGTGTCTTCTCGCTGCTGGATTTGAATTTCGCGGATGATTTCCCATACTAGTTGCTTAGCAACGATTTGAATGTTATAGAGAAGTAGGCATCATTTTTCTTTGTCTCCATTAGTGAAAGTGGCAGCCACACACTCTCATGTAGTGTCAGATGTTCTCAGTGGCTTTGCTTTGGCTCGAACCAAAACTATAGAATAACAGGGAGCTTGGATTTCTGCTTTTTGACTCGCACACACAACACACCATAGTGTGGGCCAGAACTGCATGTCCCCAAGCCTTAGATAAGGATTTAAACAATGTATTCTACACATAATGTGAATAATAATAGAACTATATAGCACTTTGCACGAGCTAAAAATCCAAAACAGTTTTTGCACAAATTTGTCTTGTCATATTTTAAGCATATTTTTCCTTATGCAGAAAAGAAAATCTATTCACACATCTAACTTCGGACATCTAACAAATGTCTTAAAATAGTGACTATAGATATATAGAAATAGTTAAAGTCATGCGCGTATAGTCATGCATGGGCTTATTCTATCACATCCGAAACCTAATCTCCAAATGATCAAAATATGAACATGTTCTTACAATGAATAGTATCATTTGCATGGAGTCTATTCAAACGAGCCCGTGTAGAAGCAGAGGTCATGTCCCCACACAATTGACGCACATTGATATCCGTTAATACTCCTAAACGTTTCCAATAATTGCGCGCACATGTGAGGGTTGCATTTCACTCGGGGTAAAAATAGCAGAAGGGAGAGGACGTGCCTGCGCGCTGTTACAGTCTACCTTGGCTTTTCCTACCTTGACACGGGCTCATTATGCATGCAGCTCCAGCTCTCCTCCAGCAGTCACATGATAAGCCCCCGACGCACAAGACCTTCACCGCGCTGCTACCAAGTTAACTCGAACAAATCCCATCCACACAAAAAAAAAAAACACATCCCAATGCGTGCCAACAGCCCATGTGCAGAAATACCCGCAATCTGAGCACAGATTTTTGTGACACACACTCACACAAAAAGAGTTTAAATCTCATAATGGGTTTTGATCCGCCTATTCTCAAACAGCTTTGCCTTTTTCATGGCTCTTCAAAAACCGTGTTGGCAGCAGCCCGGCCTATACTCAGTGCGTGTTTGGGTCTTGGGGCACTTCACTTGTTGATTTTTATATGTGGAGCGCATATATTTCAAGCTTGCAACGTCTATAGCTCTTTGAAAGTTGATTTTTGTGAACCCCGACACATGTTATGGTATGGCTGCTCGTTCATCAATCACTCGCACTGTCAAAGCTGAAGGGAGTGATCTATTAGAATGACCTCTAATCACCCAAGTTTGCTTTGCCTGTATCCGCTTAAGAATATTCCTCTTGTGTCAAAGCGATGGGTTAGGGTTGCCATGCACGTTTCAATTCATATCAGTCGATCTTTTCAGCCAAACGCACAGTATAAAGGATACAAAAACATGATGTATGCGTAAACAGCGTAAATTCAGGCCTGTTTGCAGTTTTTTCCTAATGTAGCGTCTCATGGCACAGCATTTTGAGACGAAAACAAGTGTTGAACCAGACAACTTTATTCTAAACATTGTAAATGGATTGGTTATGGCTGCTATAGTCACGCAACGCTCATTGGCAGATCACAAATGCACAATAAACGACTTCGGGCAGCTTTTCAAAACATGCTGAATAAATGGTGTATGTATCGCTGCGTTTTTAACCGTTACTGTGGTCAAAATCGTGAACATGTGCCATACAAGCAACTTTACGCACGTCTCTCCCCTCCATGCCCTCATAATGTATTTGCTCCACGTGTCGAAGCGCATGAATATGGATTATTCCTGAGCTCGTCTCTGCGGGGAGCCTTCCCTTTTCCACATCCCTAAGGATTTACGTGCAGAGAAAAGAAAAGAAAAAAGAGAGAAAATGAAAGGACTCTGACAAGACGCGGCTGCTGCGTTCTGATGACTGTTATTTTACAGTAAGTATAGTAGGATTGCCTCGCTCTGTCATTATTAGCTGCAGTTTATGGTGTTGTTAACTTCATCACACGTGTCCTGGAAATGGGTGAAAATTATGTGTCGTTTTTTTTATTTAACAGACAAAAAGGGCTATAGTATTTGACTTTATACTTATTCTTAATTATTCAAATCAATCACATTGGTTTACCTACTACTAATAATAATAATTACAAGGAAATACAGGTTCATTAATTTAGCATAGTTCATACAAAAGGCAACTCAAAAATGATCAACAAAACAAAAAAGAAACATCAAAATGTTTCTTTGTTTTGTTAACTAAAAAATAATACTAATGGTAATAATAATTAAACAAAAAATTGTTATATTACAGTTAATACACCAATAAATAAGCAAATATGTATTTTATGTTATTGTTATTTTAATACAGGAATGTAGACGTTATAATAAATCATCTACTTACTTTAATGGTGTGAAAAATATCTAATTAATAACATTACTTATCCAACATCCATAATTGTTTACATTTTGGAAATTCCAAACAATAGCGTGCCATTTTAAAACGCACATTATATTTTGTTATGGAGAATTATTTTTTTATTATTGGATTCTACTTGAGAGGGGTCAGAATTGTGCAATATATATTACATGTATTTATTTATTTACTTGTGTAGACGAGATCTAGACACGGCTTTTACCATAAATGAAAATAGTAATGCCATTTATTTGCTTATTGTTTGAGGTCACGCCAAGCCTTGAGTAATAATATTTCAGTTATTTGCACCATGTTCGACCAGGTTTAGAAATAATTCCACTATGTTCATAATAATAATGCATATACCACACTTTTTGGACATTCAAATGTGTTCCTGAAATTCCTTCTCTCCGTACACGGTGGTGATAAGCTATTACTCTGGCCACAGCTGCCCTGAGGCACACTGACAGAAGCGAGGCAACAGTATGTGCCATCTCGCACTCTGACCGCCACCAACCATTCACACACACAACACACACCTGCTGTTCCCAGAGGTCTCCCATCACATTACTGACCATGACCTGCCCTGCTGATGGTATCTGGCGCCCACGTGTTACTTATATGCTAGTTTTAGTCCGGTTTAGTCCTGTACAACTGTAGCTTTCAGATCATTAGCATGCGCACGTGAGCCTTCTAGAAGTCCATAGAACTTCCATGGCCCACGCGCTGCTGATCGTACACAAAACAAGGTAACGTAACAAATGTAAATATGTTTAACTGATCAAAAAAAATAAAAATAAAAATAATAATAATCTTTTGGCTTAACATCACTTAACGGAATTGGAGCTCTCAAAAACTGCATTTTAACTCCGAATGTTCACCTTCTGATGCTAAAGTCTGATGTTTGCTTGAGTGAAATATGTAGCCAAAGTTTTGCAACAAATGCAGCAAAATAAAGAGACTTTTTTGCACCCGAAACCTCTTGAAAAGAACATTGTCGAGCTGAAACGCCGTGAAGAACAACCAAGGTAAGTTTTGTATCATCTACACATTGGCCTGAAAGCACGTGGATTAGCTAACATTTGAACTAGCTAAGGTCAATGCTAAGATAAGCTATATTTATTAGCATGTTTTCCATTTTTTGTACTCGCAGGGGTTGACATTATAAAGCCTATTAAACACAGGCGAAACAATTTCCCAAATGTTTAAATATAGCACCATTAAACTGGCCAAAATAAGATGGTGATATGGGTAATAAATAATCAGACAGAACCAAATTTGACACAAAATTGATCCATAATGTTTTAAAATTAATTGGATGTCTTTGCTTCCATTTTAAAATGTCCATATGTAGTTAGTAATATTGATTATAATTCTGTAAAATATCAATTCTTTAAATTCTAAACAAAACATTGGCCTGTGATTGTTCCCTCATGTTATTGGAGCAACATTTCAAAAGCCTAATAACGCAGGAGTCAGTGGCGCGGCGTATACTCTCCTTGTAAATGTCACACTCGCTCCATTTAAAATCAGCTGAAACGTTGTAAACATAAACTACATGTATCATTATGCGCACGCTTTGCATAATTCTCCATAGACCCATCTCCCCCAGCTCCCCTCTTCTCCCCCCATGCACCAACGGGACGCTTCAGTCAGCTTTCCTCAGCCTTACACCGACCCCCCGTGGCCGTCTGCGGTACAGCACCGTGAGCCTGGTAAAAATCATCTGCCATTGACATTTAAGATGGCTTTAAACTGGAGGAACTGCTTCATTTATAATTTGGCATTCGCAAGGAGATTAGGCACGTTCTTTTATCTTTTTTAAGCTTTTGTTTTCATTGACAAAATGTTTTAATATATAATTTTTCATAGAAGGAGAGCAGCAGGGATAAAGTATTATACTGTTTATGATTATTTACATGATTTGTGTGCGTATTTTTCAAAGTAGTATAAAACAGTGTGATATAACCGAATTTATCTTTAGTAGAAGTCGTTGATCATATGATTATTTTGATTATTATTATGTTTATTTGATATGGGGCAGAACAAAAAGAATTGTTACACGTAGCCGATGCCATGTTCATAGGCCATATATAACTAACAGCTCATTTGCAGATCTGGTTACGAAAAACATAAAAATACACAACATTTACATAGATCATTATAGAAAACACAGATTACACAGAACAGAATATTTAAAATGGACGATTAGAGTCTGTGCATTGTGCTCACAAGTTTGGTTCCTTTTTAAGTCATTGTTTGGAAAGCCCTTTTTATGTTGGCGGGTACTTTTTTTTTGACGGATACAGCTGTAACTGCATGTATTCCAATAGTCTAAGAAACAATTGTCTTTATGTAATGTATAAGAAAATGAATAGTAGTCATAACAAAGGATTAAATAAGATCAATGCTGCCATAAACATGGATTCTGACTCTGAATACTTTGTTGAGGTTTAGTTGATTATTCTGACAATTAGCTTTGAATGTGAGCTTTGGAACAAGACTGTATCATGTGTAAGCTACAATTGGATATTGTTGAGAAATACATAACACACGTATGTCTAGCTTTTAGTTGAGTTTATTCTGCAAGTTTGTTTTGGAAAATTAGTTTCTCTAAATAGAAATGGTTACTGTACTTGATAGAAAGCAAATTGTACTTAGAATATTTTGATCCATCCTTCAACAAGTTTTAAATGGTTTCCACATGTTGCAACAACGTCCGGTTTGGCTCCCCGGTGGAGTGGAGTTTGCATGTTCTCCCCATGTTCTCGTAGGATCCCTCCGTGTGCTCCGGGTGCTCCAATATCCCCCAAATGTGGTCAAAGGGACTAACAATGAACACTAGCCTTAAACTCATTCAGGTATATTGACTGCAGCTGGTCATAATACACACTGTCTCAGTCTATACCAAGCCTTTTTATTTTCAAAATGAATTAAACATAAACATAATACTTTAGTGAAGCTTAACTGAAATCATGGATACATAATTTACAGCGAAGGAAGCAAAAGCATGAGATATTTTGCCTTCATCAGCCGGAAAATTGTTTATAAACGCTTTATATTTTGTGTGAGGGAGAGATTTTGCAAGTTTTCTCTTCCTGCTGCTGTCAGACTGTACAATGAAAACTGATGAAGTCATGAGCCGTATCGCAATTTACTTTTTCCAATTCAAATTTTCCAATGTCAGTATTTTCAGTGATCTTCTTCATCGATTTATTCTGCCCATATTGCCCTAACCTATATGCAGTACCTGCCTACCTACTGTGGGATGAATAAAAGGTTCTCTTATGTGAGTTAGATTATTATACACACTTTGATACCAGTGTACTTTTACAGCTTCAGATTGCATTCATTTACTTTATAAACAGTTGTGTAAGCTACTACTGCAGCCATTTTGGAGAGGGTCCCATGAATGCAAAATAAATATAAAACAATACAAACAATTCTTATTTAACACACAAAGGACAGGTCTGCTCCCTCAGATCCCACTCCACCGTCCACGACAATATTACATTCAGAAAACATATCATTTCTGTAAACAATAAACAGATAAAGTTCATACACAGGTATTACAGGATATACAGGTTGTAAGGAACGTCTTTTTTATTTTGAAAATTTTCGGGGCAATTTGTGTGCTTCCGGATCGTACTTAAGGTGACATGGTGTGTGGGCTCGGGATGGTCCTGTCTGAGTTGTTTATGTGTTTTGCGCCTAGCTGAAAAAGGGGATAAAAAGTGTGTATTTCAATGAGATTTTATGATTCTTTGTATGCCTTACTGATTCAATGTATTCATTGTTTTAGCTCTTACGGTGATTTTGTGCGAAGGAAATAAAAGGAGAAAGTGGGCACATTCATCAGTATGAGCATTCATTCAGCTAAATGCGCTACACAAAAAAATAACTAATTACAACTGATAACATGAGCAGGGAGTTGGACGGTATTTAGAGAATTCTGATTTTAGTAAACCAAAGGAGGTTAAGGTTCTTATGGATGTGTGTAGCCTATTCCGATCAGATTGAGCTTTGTATGAAAATGATCTACTTTTACTACTAATTTGAAGAGATGCAAATTGCTAAACCTCATCCATCTGGGTTTTTACTTCCACAATTGCAGGTATTTCTGTTTTTTATCGCTCTGCTTTAAGTAAGTCTCTTTAGAACGTGCTCTGGCTTCAGTCGTGTTCCGTTTTAAAAGCCCTGTGCCCTCTCCGTGCCTCACGCAGACCCATGAGTGGATCCCACTACAACACGTTCTTGATCCGCGATGAAAGAAAGCCCGGCTCCGCTTCACCGGTCGCCACGGTAACCAGGAAGCTAGTTAGCGATCTTTCACTTGGTCTTGTGCTGTTTATTTGTATGACACACAGGAGACAGAGCTGGAGTGCGAAGCGGAGTACAATCGCACCCGTGGGTGGGACCAGGCACTGATTGGGCCCCTAATCATTCCGGCTTCAAGTTGACATTTAAACGGTAGGTACGAGAAGAATGCGCGTGATTTGGGCTTCACAAGTGCATGGGGGAAATATTATTATGTGCAACTGTCATTAGTGCCCCGTTCTGTAATCAGAATTTTGCAAAAGAACAGATTTGGGAAGGTATAAAAAAAATCTAAGAAGAAGGTGTAAATTAGGTTGAATACATTACTGTGATGTGAGATGGAGGTTAAATTGCATGGTAAAAAGTAAAAGGCATAAACACAGCTTTTCCAAACAAAATTTCTTCAAAAATTATTGTATTATTTTTATCCCAAAGGTAAAGTGGCTTGTAACTCCTTATACTCTCACAACTGCAATGTTCAATGAAATTATCATGTCCCTTGGTTTGGATATTTTTACATATGCCTTTTCTCAAACCTATAAATGAAGTGTGGTTTGTTTATTTATAATTAGTTGCCTGCAGAGACTTTTGTTTTTACAGTTGTAGGCTTAAAAGAAACACCAATTCACAAATAGACTAATGTTGAAACGCGTTTAGTCCCTTCTTTGATCCAAAGGTCGATGCAGCTTTTATTCGTCGACTAATTATTTTATCATAACAATTTAGCTGAAAGAAGAATGCACATTTGTTCTTTTAACAAATAAACTAATACTATCATTATGTTCCTGGATAAATAGCTAATTCCTTGAGTTTGTGAAAGTGTTGGTCATAGACATTCTATTAATCTACAATTAACTCATTTTAACACAATCTGCAAAAAAGACAGGAAAATAAGCCATTTAGCCACATATAACTAATGTTCACGTCAACTACTGAACAGTATATTCTTATGACAAAAGTGAATAACATCTGTACTTTGGTGCTAGCTGAGATTAACCCACATGTCGTGTGTATGTGAAAAAGGCGGGACTTACACCTGTCAATCGCAAGAGACTGTGTGAACAATTATTCATATTAATGACAATAATCTACTTCTTATTGGAATTACAAATGATAATAACATTAATAAATAGCCCATATTTCATTTATTTTTCTAAAGATATTACAGGGAGGACTCTAGCCGTATTGATACAAGCCATGTTTGTTAATAGCTAATTAAAGCCAAAATAATGTGTTCTATTTTGTTATGTGTAGATGATAATGTTTATTATTGCTCTCATAAAATCTGCCCCGTGGATCAATCAGATGCTGTAATTATAAAACAACCCTTTTCATGAATGCATGTCTAAAAAACGGCTAATGAGTCCAAGCGTTATCCAATAATTAAGTGACTTTGTATGACTAACTCTATCAAAGTTATGCAGACTTTCCACCTGCAACATTCTTTGAACAAGGCAAAACTTCTTGATCTTCCTTAAACTCCGAATTGAACCGGCATCCCCCAAGCGTCCGACTGGGCTCGCGTCTTGTTGCTCGAGCTCAATCGTTCCCGCGGCCAAAGTATCAAAAAGCCAGCGAGCGATTCAAAGAACTGGACGCCCACAGCCTCTCTGCCTGCCATGTCAACGCTGCCAAGAACGGAGGGAGAGAAAGAAGATCCACTGTGCGCCAACGATGACTTGTAACCTCCAAAAGTAGAAGATTCTACGAAGCCGTGCCAGTTTGTGTTCACATCACAGCGCAGAGAGGATGCACTTCTTAAACAAAGCATTTACAGTGCGCAATAACTTTAAGCATCTTACATTTGCTACAGCATGGTGTGTGCCAAGTCTTGTTCTTTGGATTATGAGAGTTTGGACAGATGGCACAAAAACGAGGGAGAAATGTCTCTTCTTATATCATTTATCAGTCTGCCCTGCTTGCCATTTTTCCGTTGACGATATTTTTTTAATTTGTGTATTCTTACAATCATTCATTCATCAGTGTGGTAGAGATGTAAATCCCGATGGCTAGCCCGGATCCAAAGAACCACAACCGAACACCAAGGGCAACTATTCAGCAGCAGTGAGCGACCACATTGCAGTGCCTGGGGACCCTTTCTTGCATTCTTATGTGTGGGTATTTTTTCCTGAAATACTAAGAGGGTTGACCTGCAGTGCCTGTTTTGGAGACGGGACAAAAGCATGAAAACTTTTCTCAGAAGGCCTCCCACAAGTCACAATGGTCGGTCGACAAAGTTGAACATTTCACCACTTTACTACGTTAATGGCTGACCTGTATTGTGTATGACAGCAGTCTGTAAATACAAATGAACACCCCTGACCTCGTAAAAAAATGGTATCATCTGGAAATGTTATAACTGTAGCCTACATCAACTTTTCAAACTTGTGGTTAAGGAGTTTAGTCGATTGTGTCCCAGCAGGGCAAAAGAGGATTCGCTCATATCTTCCATCAAATCAGGATCTGGTTTGAAGGTGTGAACAAAGGTTTTTTAATTTTTCACAAATATGCTCCACATTTAAAATTCGGGGTTCTGACAACATCCCCATGATATTGAGAAATGAGCAAAATTCAGAGGACAACATTTCTGGTAAGATCTGCAACAGTTGAATCGGAATCTATAACATTTTTCAGGTGTTATAGTTAAGACGTTAAATTCAAATGTATATATTTTGTCTTGGGAAATTACAGTGCCTTGTCTCTTTAAAAAAAAAAAACTAAATTAAAAACTGGCCTTTCTGCTCCCCTGTGTCCTGAGTGTCCTGGACCACTGACACTGCCCAGCGTCCCCTCCCAGCAGCAGATGGATCAATGGGACAGACAGGGACGAGTCGCTCCCTCAGCACCGCAGCAGCCGAGGTTCTGTCCCGGCTCAGGTCAGGCATCCCAGCAGGACCCCCCACCTCCCCCGCTGATATCAGCAGCAGTTACCAAGGTGACAGCATGTCAGGGAGCCACCAGGGAGGGGAGGGTGGAGGTGTGGAGGGGGGCACCATGCATCACCGCCTCTGATGGCTTTGTCAATACTGGTTAGACCCACAGGGAGCCGGGGCCGCAGTGACACAGTGGACAGGCCCCTCCGGGAGAGCACACACACACACTGTACACAGGCACAAATAGACATCAACTATATTTACTCTGGGACGCTGGAAAATGTACTCACAAACACTGTCGTTCAACAATATGGCAGACATAGCAAAAAACGGCAAAGAATACTTCAAAACTCAATAGAGCAGAGTGTTACGGCAGTAATTTCAGCTAATATATTGTCCTGATTCTTTTGACTTATCAGCGCATTGGATACAGTTTCAGCCATTAATCTCCAGCACAGGCATTATTTTATTCTGGCAAAGCTTAAAACATTTACATACTGTTTTTCCTGCAAAGCGGACCATGCTCTACGAATACAGCAAACGCTTTTCCAGTTTGCATAAAATAGGGGTATGAAGTGTGTTGTGTAATGGAGGGAGAATGGGTTTCTTGGAATTCTAAACATTGGTCATGAAAACACCACTTTAACATGTTTAATTTAATTTGTTTTTGTATAGCTCTAAACCACAACTGCAGTCATTTCAGATGATATTACAAACGAGTCAATTCGCCAACAACAATTGGAGAATCAAACTATTAAAACAAAGAAAATGCTAAAAAAAAATGTGTTCATAATTATCCATAGATGCCTGGATGTTCTGGATCATCATTGACCAAGGGTCTCCAACCTGTTTTACCCAGAGAGCCACTTTCCAAGGACAAAAATAGCAGAGAGCTACTCCTTTCAGCCCAGAGGGAACTTAAGGGCTCATCAATCATATATTTAGTTATATTCCAAATATAATATGTAATTTATAAGGAGGCAGAAAGGTACTGGTAGGTCCCGAACTAGGTTGGAAACCCCTGCCTTAGAACCTCCTGCAACGGCAAGAAACGACTCAAGTCTTCTATAGGATTTAAAAAAATGTGCCCAACCTATTTTGATCCATAAGTCTGATCTCACAGCGGTTAGAAATTCTGGTCTGTGTCAATCACTGCTGAGCAAGTGTCTTGCTCAGCAGTGATTTAGTTTAGGGAGCTGCTTTATCATTTGAACCACTGCAATGAAAGGATTAGAGAAATGAAACACAATAAGCATATTTCTTTTAAATGTTGAAGCTAAACCCAGTTCCCAGGTAGCAGCTCAAATGCAAATGTGTTGTGATTGCGTGGCTGGCCCGTCTGGCTGTGTGCGCCATTAACCCGAGCGGAGGAGGCCTGAAACGCACCCACATTCTGCTTCAGCTCCGCAGCTCTCGTGTCTAACCATTTTCCAGCCTGGTTTTAATAGATTACTAATGATCGCTCCCAGGTATTTCAAAGTTACACATTAGTGATGCAACTCGGTAATCCGAACGCTTTTCCTGTTGTGCGCGATAGTGTTTTCAGACGTTTTAAGGCAGTGGAGAGAGCGGGTTTTAAGGGGGGCTTGTGACCAGAAATAAGCAGCAAATCTCGGGCGTCTATCTGAGGTGTAAGTAGTGGAAGGAAGTGCGGTTGGGGGATATGCCAAGCGCCCCTGATTCCCCCTGTATCCAATCTGACCAATCCTCTTAGCAGCTCCTCCGACTCGAGCTGTGCCCTCCCCGGAAAAGCCGCTTCTTTCATTGGGCCTATTATGTCAATGTTTAATACGCGGAGAAGGAGCAGAGAGGTAAAAATAATATGACAGAAACGCTTAGTGCCGAGATGTTTCTCCGGGACTCACACTCGTGTTGGTAGAGTACAGGCAGCGCCACACGTTTTTTTCCCTTCTTCTTCTCCCTTACTGTAGATGTGGTCGGCAAACAGAGCTGTCAGATTCTGGAACACTGTGTAAAACGTTGAAGTGTAGACAGCAGCAAAATAGAACTCGAAGGATTTTTGGAGAGAGAAGCGAGGCTTGGTGATGGATGGGAGCAACGATAGTGTCGGGGGGGGGTTTTTTGATGCAGGAAAATATAAAACCAGTTTCAATTTACAAAACAGACTCCAATTATTGACCATCTCACTTTGTATCTACTTCTTGAATTGTTTTAACTCATAGATAAATATTAAAATGCTTAACTATTGAAAACTTAAGACTTAGGGACACACAAAGAAGACTACGAAGATACTGAATTAAGTGTTAAAGGAGATTTATTACACAAAATGGTCTCCCCTTTAGAGATATAATTTTTATTTAGGTTTGTTGCTCCTAGCTCCTAGCATAGCTCTTACGTCAAAAACAGACCTTGGACTTATTTTCAGCTCCATCTACACTAATTTCATGGATCTGTGGCACATTCAGTTCTTTACAACCGCCTGGCTATGTCTGCAGCAATATTTGAGGTTGGAAACACAATTATTAAACATCTCAGATAATAGTAGTCAAAAATTAGATTAAAGACTGAGATCAGATTCTATCCTTTACATGTTTATTCATTTATTTTCTAACTAACCCATTGGTTCACATTACAAAACATATAATTTCGAATTGTATGAAAACATCTTTATTTTATAAAAGAGAAACAAAAGGTCGAAAGAAAACTATAATATAAACTTTGTGACAATCATGTCGATAGATCCTCGCTCTCAAAATAGTTTCACTTATATAAATCATTTGGCTTTTGTCATATCTTTAGATCAGCTTTTTTGGAACAATCATCAAATAGTGATTTATGAGAAAGATATAATGTCATTTTTTAATTTGTTCACATCATTTAACTTAATCTTGTGAAAAACTAAAATATAAGTAAGTAGATCTGAGTCTCAAAGCGGTTTACAATCTTTAATTTTGGGCTTTTGTCTCTCACTTCACACAGAGATTGGAGCATGGTCACCAGTACAGGAGGTGCATGCCAGAACTATTGTACGTATTTTTAGTGGTAGGGGAAACCGGAGTACCCAGAGGAAACCTATGCAGACACATGGAGAACATGCAAAGTCCACTCAGAAAGGCCCTTGTCCGACCGGGATTCGAACCCAGGACCTTTTTGCTGAGAGGCGAGAGTGCTATCCACTCAGCCACCGTGCCGCCCAATATGAATGTAAAAAAAAGTTTGCCACACCAGCTTCAAGGGCCAAAAACAATGCAAAATATTTCTTCTTTAAATCAACTATTGTAGTTGATGTACTTATGTGTTTATATGAATATATTTTCTGCTGCTGCACACCTGAATTAAGTACGTTTAAAGTATCTAAGTTTAAAGTATCTATCTATCTATCCAGTGCCAATGACTCACTATAGCCACAACCAGCCTGCCTGTCCTTTCTACTGGCCTAAATCCTTTCACCGTGGCGCCCTTGCCTCTCGGTGCTTTAGAACCAGTCCTGGTAGTAAATCTGTGCAATGTAAAATTCATGTGCGCTGCCATGAGAATATTTATGATCAGCAAACACAGAAGCTGCTTACACTCAAACACCGACGCTGCGCGATCGTCTTCCGCTGCCACTGAAAAGCCTCGCGCGCTGAAATAAAAGTAATTAATTGGTGTAATACACGAAGGACATAATTATCTTTCCACGTAACTGGCACATATTTAATTACTGGTAATTGTTCCCAGGCCTTGTTCAAAAGTGTTGTATGCCAGACAGTTGTGATATATTATAGGCTAATCCTGCTCCTGATACTCAGTCAATTAGGGAATGTGTGTCAAAGAGCATGCAGTAAACAGCACAGAGGCAGACAAAAGACACGCCAGACACAGATATAAAACTATTTACAGAGCCACGTTTACCTCAGATATAGAGCAAACACTGCTGTAAAATGCAGGTGGCAGATTAACATGGTTACCAATGGAATTATGTTGTATTTTCAAACTTGCGTACTGAAGGCAAAAAAGGTTTCATAACATGTAAATCGTGATACACAGTTTTAAGAAGGGTTTGGATGAAGCAGGAATTTGTTTTTTTTCAGCTCCACTCAAGACACAGGCTCAACACCTCTCTGACCCTACATCTCTCCTGTTTGTTTCTTTAGTTCTTCTTTGTTTTGAATGGATCCATATAGAATGTTTCTAAAGTTGTTCTAAAGAGTAGTTCCAAAATTAGGCCTATGTAGTTTTTGCTTCTTCTTAAACTGTAAAAAGGCATCTTTTTGCATGTATAGTGCTTTTTTGGACACCCAAAGACACTTCACATGGCATTATTCTTTCTCTCCTTGGTAGTGTTAAGTTATTAGTCACAGCTACCCTGGGGCAGACTGACAGAATTGTGGTTACCAGGGCCATTGGCTACGACGACACATATTTCATTAAACATTATGGTTTTATGAGGCTTGCAACTCTCCAAACAAGAAATTAATTTCTTGCGGACATCACCATTTAGCCCTCCACATTTCCCAACTATTTGAGTTGGTCACTAACCGCACCTATTTCATATATCCTTGCCCCCCACTCACTTACCTACTGTACCCACCCACACCTATCGTGTCCCCTGCCCTGAAGTGCTCATGCCCGCCGGCCTGGAGCGAAGCCATTCCCACTCATTTCGCAAACAAAAAGGCCACATCTACTGATTAACACCACCACTACTTTTCTCGCTAGGCTAGGTCCCATTTAGAGAGGAGCTAAATTTACTCCCCCGTGGTTTGCCGCAGGGGTGGTTGGCTGCTGAAGGGGGAGGGGGGGGCAGTCCGCTCCTGTGGCTCATGCCGATGGGGCCCTTGAACATGAGGTTTAATAAGTAAACAGTAGAGGAAAGGAGAACAGAGCTTGTGATCACCGGCTTATTTGGCCATACTCGCCCCCCGGTACACGCCGCTACCAGCTGATTAGCCTTGCCGATTGTACCTTGTAATTGCTGTGCCTTGACCCCCTCCAGGCAAATATTAGATTTTTAGTGGTTTAACCTTTCCAGTCATCAGTTTGTAGGGGAAGGGGGGTAGGGGGGTAAATTGCCCGGCCAGATGTTAAGGAGAGCCGAGGTAGTCGTGATCAGAAGAAAGTGGACAAGAAAAAGGCCAACCTTTGCTGCCTTTTAGAATATGGCAGAGCTGATTTGCGATCCTTATCCATCTCCCCCTCCTCTCTCTGATGTCGAGTTGGAAGCGAGACGTATTATTCAAAAACACTGGAGTGCCGGTCATTAGCAGCCGGCTGAGTGATCAATGATGGAGGAGATCAATGGTAGATATTAACCCAGCAATCAGGGCAGTTGTAGAGGGGATACGTCTATACCTACACAGAAGTGCCTTGTTAGCAGAAGCAGGTGTGGGTGACTTTAAAATGCAGAAGTATGGAAGATGTATGAAGGAACTTTAAAAGAGCCATCATTATAAAGGCAAGGTAAGTTTATTTGTATAGCACAAACACAAGGCAACTCAAAGTGCTTGACAAAAAAAAAGATTTTTCCAGATTTTAGCTGCATAAATCTGTCATCTGCCACCCCATGTTTAGTCCTGACTCTGGGCACCAACCGGAGTTCTGTCTCTGTGCTCCTCAGAGTCCGAGTTGGTTCATACGGCACTAACATTTTGCAGATCTACTTAGGAGCGAGGCCATTGAGAGACTTGTACACAAGCAGCGCTACTTTTTAAGTCTATTCTCTGAGTCACAGGAAGCCAGTGCAGAGACCTGGGGACTGGGCTGATGTGGATGTACTTCCTGGTTCTAATCAGGACTCAAGCTGTGGAATATACTGCAGCTGTTTTACTGCTTGTTTGGAGAGACCAGTGAGCAGACCGTTACAGAAGTCGAACCTACTAGATACACATCTCCAACTTGAGACTATTTTTTTCATTCTGGCAATGTTTTTTACATGGGAAAAAGCTGATGTTGCTGAAGCCTTAAGGTGACAGATAGAATTCATAAGGGGCATATCTAAATGGACACACCCAGCGTAACCAATATTTGGCTGTAACTTTAATTCATTAATTTCAACTACACCTTTGGTACAGCATTTTCCCTGGCTTCGTTAGGCGTTGTGGTTCTTCTGGCTCCCCCTCTCTGCAATTTCAATCAGCTCTGCTTTGTTAGCATCACTAATATTAATCACTCTGGATATGTTGAATAGTATCGCTAAGTCCCCTGTTTGCTATTCTCCAATTCAATGAATGAGTTGATCAGGAGCCTGTCTGATACAATACCTGAAGAAGAAACATTGACATTTATTTATAGTAACTTGCCACTTACTCAACAAAACAGATTTTAACTCAACACCACATGTCTAATATTTCAACCAAAAAAAAATTACAATTTAGACTCAAGACTCCATAAAAAACTGAGGCCACCTTAAAGATGAATTAGAAAATTATAGAAGTCTCTACATGGTGTTTAAATTCTTAGGCCTGGATACAACACCATAATAAACAGAAGCATTTTTACTCCTTTTACCTATTCTTTTGTTTTTATTTTGCAGAAAATAGCACAAAAACTACATTACTGCTGTAAAAAGGCTTTCAACTTCCCAAACCTGACTCATACTTGTCACCAATCGCAGGGGCTCCTCTCTCTTCTTTCTGTCTGTTCTGAAGTGTGGTTTTCTTCTTTCTATGACATGATGCCTTGATGAGCCACAGCCAGAAAGTTACGTAGGGTTTAATTAAATAGTTTTCGGATGTATGTATGTTTTTATGCTTTATTTCTTTAGTATTGACAGAATGCAAAGTGATGGTTTGAATATCCACATACTGAAAAATCGGTGGGACTGGGACTTTTTGTAATTTATTTTGGCAAACAACAAATTGCTAACCAAACTGAGAGGCGTCGGGGTCGTCAGCTGGCACCACACTGCATTTTCTGCTGTAATAAGTCTGTGATTGATGCGTGACTCTCGCTCCAAGCCTGAGTCCATGTCAAATAGAAACAATATGAGAACAGTTCACACAGATATGTAAATGTGTCGTCCAGACCAGACCACATTCCCAGCTCTGCATGGCTCTCGTTATTTTGTTGAGAGATTGGTGTTTTCCGGAGAGACATGACAAAAAGAGGTCAAGATTATCTTTCGCAATGGATGAAAAAAAACCCAACTGTACTGAATTTCTTAAAAATACTGACACACTTTTATATTCGTCTCAATTATATCACAGTTTTCTGACTAATTATCCACCTATTAGTTGCTTATACGTGGCTAAACTTTCCCTTGAATCAGCTCATAAACTAGACATAAACAGAAAAAGAAATACACTATTTTTGATTAATCACCTTTGGATTAGATTTTTCAGACAGAAAAGTAAGAACGAGAGGACCACCCTCACTCAAAAGCCAAAAAGAGCGTAAAATTGTGATTCACAAAGACAACTTGCTTTCTAAAAAAGTTAAGACAGTATTGTGGTTAGATTTGACTCTTTCTGTTTGGTTAAAAAAAGTTAGTTAGCCCAGGCTTTAAACTTGACGCTTAGTTGACGCTTAATCAATGTAGAATTACATTGCTTTTGTTTTGTTTTCTCATTTTGAAACGTCCAAAATAAAACATTCATTCATTCATTCATTCATTCATTCATTCATTCATTCATTCATTCATTCATTCATTCATAAACACAAAAATGTAAATATACTGTATAACTGAAATATTCAACTTTACATAGGCTTGAATAGTAATTGTGTTTTTTTTTTTTTTTTGTGGATAGATAATAAACAGAGTGAAAAAGACAGTACATGATCCATGACACTCGATATTCAACAACAATCGGTTGAATTTTGACCGACAAATCAGCGAGCGCGGGAGGCGGGTGTTGTTGTGGGTGATGTCAAGAGTTTGCGTCGAACGGGCAGGTTGTAGTTTAGCAATGGCGAAAAATGCGACAGTAAAGTAATCCGGTCTGGTTCTATCAAGAAACTAAAGCCGGAGCAAGAGGAAAGTTTAGCAAATGTAATCGCTGGAAAAAATTGTGGCGCTACTCCCCACGGGCTCCGTTAGCGGCAAAGGAGATGGCTAGGCTAAATGCTAACAACAGACTCGGGCGCACTACACACGTCACGGTAAACTCAGATCCAATCATTGCAATCTGCAAAAGGAGTTAACCCCTCCCACCTGTAAACGGAGCTCAATGGAGCACCTCCAGACCTTTGTACTAAATGTAAATTGTACCATGGTGTGGTACGACCAGGCTAGTGTTTGAATAGTTTGATTCTCTGATCTGTGTTGGCGAATTCAATGGTTTTGTTATGTCCGGGTAAGTAAGTGATTTAGGGCTATACACGAATAAATTGAATTGAATAGAAAAGATATTCATGAAATTGATCCCATGGTTGGTATAAAGCTACATATATGTTCTCCAACACATCATCTGCCTCGCACCGCACCAGCAGCACAGACAAGACCCTGTTTCGCGGAAGTTTTTCTTGGGTCGTTTTCTGCCGTTTCCACAGAGCTCGAGTTTCCCACCGCTCTCCCCCTTTTCCTCCCATCATCCACGTCTCCACGGCCCCGCTTCACCCCACGCCTAATAGCTTCCTTCCTCCTCCTACACGCTCTCACCTGAACCATCGAATTTTTTTTTCTTCCAAGGATGCAGCGATGGTCCCCGGTAACCCGATCCGGCAGACAGGAGCAGAGGGCCGGAGGACAGGAGTAGAGAGGAGGGGGCAAAGTGGTTCCATGTGACGGATGGAAGGGGAGTCTGGGAAAGACAGGGATTGACACCTCAGAGACCAGCGCATGTTCGGATTTGGAAAGAGGTAAAAGAGAGAGGGTGGTGTGTTGTAGAGAAGCCTTATAATTATGTGAGAGAAACTAGGGTTGCATCAAAAATCACAACACGTCAATAATTCATTTGGTCATCAATAGCAATGCATAGGCTCCAAACTATGTCCTGAGCTGAGAAAAAAGGTTTATAAATCAAACATTTATTTTAATTTTAAATTATACCAGAAAACACATAAGTGAAACTCTGATTATTATTTTGTATATTTCTGTATTTAAATGTGAAACCAATATATAATATAGACTTATTCCACGCAGTGACATAGACCTTTTTGTTCTAATAAATTAAATATAATTATAATTGGCTATATGTCATCAAGTCATATATACATTTTTTGTCATAATCACAAATGTTGATTTTGTCAACAATAGAATTGAAGAAGTTCTGAGCTCTACAATGAGGAACAGCATGTTGGTGGAGATATGGTTGACGTCACGTGTAATGGCTAATTTGGGGTTAGCAAAGAAGAGAGCCATGGATATTGACACAGCGGGCCGCGATTGGCCCTCAAGCCTTAGTTTTGACAGTTTTCCTTGCTTCATATTATAAGGAATGGTTGGTTATCCCTTGATGCAGTTCCTGTTTTGATCAAATCACCAGGAGCAACAACATGTGTTTATGTTAATATGGCTTTCGTGGTCATAAATCCTAAAATATGTTCAGCAAAGCAAACATTACTTGAGAGTTTATCAAAAAAAGACAATCGTCCAAAACAATGAATCAACACTGTAAACAATATGCCACCGCTGCAGTCTGCTGACAGGCTCTTCTGCTCTAACCTGGAGTCTGCTGACACCTACCTTCAATCGGAGCTTCTCCCCTAAACCTGAGATGTTTACAGAGAAGAAGGTCCCAAGTCCACAGTCACAATGACTTAACACACATTTTGTCAGTATTTTGTAAATCACTTACTCTGTGAAGGAAATATTTGCCAGAAGCCCAACTTAACTGCAATAGAAGTAGCCTGCAGTCGAAATGTCAAATGCAGTTACGTAAGCCTTTAACTTTTTATTTTACGAGAGATATTGTATTCTTTCACACACAATTTCTTACTCCATATGAAATGGACTAACATCGCTGACCTGATTGGCAAACGCTTTCATGCAAGTTTTATTTTTGATTATGTTCTATTATGTAATGTATTTTCAATTTTGGTGCTAAATTAACACAGTGCTAAATTATTCTGAGCAAAATGTTGGTCCAATTAACATGTTGGTCCAATGGTTTTGCCAAAGGAAATGACAAAAGTTTGATATTTTTCAATAATAATGCATTGGTTTTTTATAGTGCTTTCACTCTAAAAACGGTGGTGATAAACTACAACTCCAGCCACAGCTGCCCTGGGGCACACTGACAGAGGTGAGGCAAACAGTCTGTGCCTATCGGCCCCTCCGACCACCACCAACCATTCACACACACACCAGACTCATTCTATAAGGACACAACAACAGTTTTGCACTTCACAGCCGCCCCACTGTGTTGCCTGGTGTCCACGGAGGTCTCCCATCTCAGTAATAACCAGGCCTTACCCTGCACAGTTTCAGAGGTCTGATGGGATCTGGTTTTCGCGTGCAAAATTTGGCCACAATTTCACACTAAACTGAAAGATAACGAGGTCCATGTGCTCCCAATAAATTTTTCTTGACACATTTCTTTAAATTGTTACCTAGAAACGCAAACATTAGAAAAGCAGGCCCACAGCATGATGCTCCCCTTACCATATTTTACAGCAGTGTTAGTTTCGTGCAATACATACACTTTGAGCCAACATTACTTACTGTATTTTGTTCTCATCTGTTGAATGTGTTCCTCAGATGTCTTCTGGAAAACTGTTTGAGTGCCCACAAACTACTTACATAATAATATCATTACAAACTCATTCATACTGAGCGATAAAAAAAGTAAAAAAACGGCTACAATTTTATAAACCGCAAATGTGATCATTCTCTTTGGATTTGTTTTTCCTCGTACTTCCTTGCCTCCTCTTTCTCTCCCCCTCTAATATCCGCCGACATCTATGGCCGCCCAATCTGTTGCACGCTCCGTTCATTTCACGCGCTGCCAGGAGTGCTTTTGTAATTATCCTGATATTGATGAAGGCTGATTCCGGCAGGTAATCGGCAGCAGCTCGCCCTGTTTTTACGCGTCTCAGCAAAACGTCTCTATCCATTACCAGTGGCAAATTAATTTCCACTCATTGGCCATACTTGTTGATAATCCATGCGGAGATGTGTGTCGATGTGCGTGAAAGTGGAGGCCTGACGTAGCAGCTGGAGATGGCTCTGATTCACACACTGCAAAAAAGTTAATAAATGCTTCAAGTAATTGTATTGGAACAGTCTAAAAATGTTACGCCTGGGAAAAAGTCTAGCATGGCCTGTTTTTAGCTAAAGAAAGATAGCAAAGGGGATTGTTAGCACTTGGAAATTGTTACTCTGTTCGAAATTAACTAAACTAAATCTCTCTGTATTAGTAAAATAAGTTATAAGACTGTAAAATTTAACTAAAATCATAGCAATTGTTGTTTTTGTGTTGCTAAATATCAGCTCTGCTCAGTTGAGAACTTCAAGAGAGTGGACAATAAAGCAGCTATAATATAAAATGCCTCAACCACAACAGATATGAATAAGAAAATGTGAACTAAAGAACCGCTGTGTGACTTTTATGTCACGGCTATGGGTTTATAAAACTATACTGTGGACGTTTTGATAGTAATAAATGTGTTTTATGTCATACTGAGGAAGATTAATGTCAAAGAAACATTATTAAAATGGGGAGGGGGATACAAATCAGGTTAGTTGATAAGATACTCACAACAAACATACTTGTTTTTATACCTGTTTGAATTGCAAAATAATACAATTCTTAGTTCCTTCCTTAGTTTTAGGTATAAAAGTGTTAGATTATGGGGTAGTAATGACAACGCCTTTCTGTCCTGTATATTAACTGGTGGACTAAGGTTGACCAAAGTCGACAAAAGGTATTCTTGGCCTTGGCCTTCAATTAGTCAACTGAAGAAGGGAACAGGAGAAGCCTTCAAAATCCTTATGTAAATGACTTAAACTGGCCTCACAAAATCTTCAAAATCATTTAATATTAAGCAATGAATAAAAAACACATGAATTGATTGAATATTATTCAAATACAATAGACTAGAGTAGCAAAAAGCAGACATAATTGAGTAACACAAACCTCAGATGTAAATTACTCGAGTAAACTCAGAGAAAACACAAAAGTTAAACAGATGATTATTTAATTAGCTATGGCAATACTTTGCTCTACTGTGTTGATTTCATTTTGGGCGCTAAATATCGCACCACTGAACAGATTCGATTTCTTCCCCCACCATATCTTCATATTCAGATCAGATTAGTTTTATTTGCCATTTGCAGTAAAACCACTATGGAATACATTTGCAAAAGTCCCCAGTGTGCGCCAGACAAGTGCAGAAATAAAGCAAACCCTAACCCTAATAAATAAGATACATCCTAACCCTAACTCTAACTCTAACTCTAGCTCTAACCTTAAAAAAGTGCAGGAAACAATTAACACTGTGAAATCAACTAAAAGAGTTTCAATACAAGTGCAAGATCATTAAAGCGCTCTGTTCTATCTTCAATTATTCTGTCGGATTAATAAAATGCTAAGATTTTTTCAGTGTTTACAATAATATCCATTTGTCATTTATTATATTACGTTCTCAAGAAACATATTTCCTCAAGCATTACTGGACCAGTGAGCCAAGTGAACGCAGCACAACAACACATTTGACAGCACAAACTCTACACTAATGTGCTTATACATTGTGCTGGATGTCTCCCTCCACCAGACGATCTGAATGACCACTTATCCCTAAACGCCCCGTATCCACACGCCCGCACCGGATCGCTGTGGGTAAATAAATTCACTTTAACCGAATAAACGAGCTTGAGCCGCGCGGGTCTTTTGAGCGGGCATGTTTGCAGCGGGGCCGTAATGGATTCTTTTAGAGCCGTGAACGGTTTACGACCATGACAGCCACGTTTGGGCTTATCCCTCCGCGCGGGGCTAAGGATATTAGAGAATCAGCGTAAAGAAGCGCCAGAGAAATGATGACTGGAGAAAGGCTCAGAGCGCACGTATTATAAGCCGTCCATTTCCCATGACTACTTCTCCGGCAGCGGGGCGAGAAAGCAGACTTGGCAGGGCTCCATCCTTCCCGTGATGGCCTCCTGTGTTTGGATGATGTAGCTACACACAATTATTGTTTATTAGGACAACAAAATGATGGTTACAAAGGGATTATTGTAAATATGTTGGTACTGTTGGTACTGCCTGAGAAACAATAGCAACCTCATAAGGAGATTCATTGATTCCCTCACAATTTAACATAGACAGGAGGCTCGTATGGAGAAGAAATAGTCCCAAACTCATGAGAAATGGCATCAATTACTGCAGTGAATATTTATCTATTATACGTTTGGTGTAGGGGCGACAGTGGCTCAGTTGGTAGAGCGTTGGCCGTAGAGCTTGAAGGTTGTGAGTTCAAGCCCACCATAAGACTCACGACTCCCACTGATGACTGCTGTCGTTGTGTCCTTGGACAAGACACTTAACCCCACTTTGCCTGAAGCCCCCGCTGAAAGATCTCGGCTCCTGTGGGCTCACAACCTGCAGGAGGATCAGTGAGGGGCTGGTGCTCTGTGAAGTGCAACTCTGACTGCCACACCCCCCCTGAAATGGATTTAGGGGAAGAAAATGGATGGATGGATGGACGTCTGGTTTACTCTTGAAAAATGTTGCATTATTTTTCGTACACAGTAGATAAAAAAATGAAGTGATATATAGGTTTTACCCAATTTAAATGGGGCGACAGTAGCTCAGTTGGTAGAGCATTGGCCTTTGGGCCTGGAGGTTGTGAGTTCGATTCCCACCATGGGACCTACTCCAACTGCTCCCACTGATGACTGCTGTCGTTGTGTCCTTGGGCAAGACACTTAACCCCACATTGCCTGAAGCCCCCCGCTGAAAGATCAAGGCTGTTTCACAATTGACGGAGCAGCCATCTTCCTGTGGACTCACCCCCTGCAGAAGATCAGCGAGGGACTGGTGCTATGAGCGTTGGGTGGCAGCTCTCATTGCCACCCCCCCCCCCCCCCCCCCCCCGACCCAGAAATGGACAAAGGGGTTGAAAATGAAATGAAATGAAAAAAAAAAAACAATTAAAATGCATGTGTGTCATCCCTGGATACTGGTTTGTGGTCTGTGGGCAGTTACTCTAAAATTGCCCACTCCCCATGTCCCTGTATGCCTGTATTCACTGTAAAACATCATCTTCACTTCACACTTAAAAAGCAAAATGTATATATGAATGTATGTCTGATGTGTACTCCTGTTTGCTAATTTGAAAACAGAAAAACAGTTGCAGAACCCGATCGAGTAGAGTAGAACAGGGAAGAGAGGGGCCCTTCTCACTGGCCCGAACTGGACGAATTATAAGACTTTTTCAAAACATGTGAATTATATTATTATTATTATGTGACTACAGGACCAGTGTGCACTTGATTGGTCTTTTCCCACATCAACACTAATAAACACAACCATAGATACACACACAGTTGGTGAAGTAGCTGCTGTCAGTAAACACATGTTGTGATTTGGCCTGATTTATAGTTATAATCTATCACATGTGGATTACTATGCATTTCATTAAATCTCCTCATTTGCTCCATATAGAAAAAAAAATGCTGTATTGATTTGTGACTGCAACGTCAAGTCACTACCTAGCGGCAGATCACAGTACAGCAGAGTTAGCTTATTTTCCATTCATCCCAGAACAAATGTATGATATCTTACGTGTTTATGTGTAGATATGAATCGGTATACGGTACGAATACATCTTATGCTATTGCGCAGAGGTTTAGGGGGAAAAAACATGGAAAAACAGAAATTATATACGTTCTGTAAATGTGTAGAACAAAAATGTGACTCTTCAATAAACAAATAAAAGAAAAATGCAGGCAAGAGCAAGTCAACAGAAAACAATGTTAATTTGCTATAGATGATGATTCATTTTTGGATATATTCTGCTCAATGACAAGAAGAACAATGCAATTACTCAGATATAACTTGATTAAAACTCAAGTAAAAAAAAAACGTGTTTCTCTATGTCACCTTTGCATATTCCTCATTTATTTCTTAAAGTCCTAATATGTTCACTGTGATCGTAAAAACCCAGGCATACTAAACTTTCGCTCCTCATTCCCAAATCACCTTTGCGTTGTCAGAGATGGACCACTACAGTCTCGTGATTAATCTGCCGCCCCTCGCCCCCCACTGTGAATTAAAGAACACGGGTCCACGCTATTTTTCTCACCGAGCAGGAGCACGCTGGTGGCTAAAAATGGGGCCAAACACAGTCCATCATGGGCCCTTCGACAGCCCACCTCAGGGTGCCTGTATCGACCGGTACAGGGCGCAGTCACCGTGATTAATCTGTGGGCGTCACCCCTCCAACTCTATCAAAGTATAAGTGAAGACGTTCAATGTTCATTCTGTAAATACAACATTTTCACCATACGGTTTGGGTCAAGATACTGAATACTGTTGCAAGAATACATTCGAACATTGGAAGAATTAAATTTGATAACAAGTTTTCTATGTTGTGTAATAGACATGGTTTGGGAAGGTTTTTCCTCTTTGTAGATTATGATATTTGGTTCTTCTAAACCAGACAAATGGAAGATAGAAATGTCATTAACTTTAGCGGCATGATATTGTCAAGGAACCATTTCTGTGATTAAGGCATCAGTGTAAAATTCAACATATCATAAGCATTAGTTTTCATAGCAGAATTATGATAAATTTAAAAATCTATTCTATGGTTTCACACATACTTTTCTGCACTTTTAATCTTGGTGCTATCAAGATTGACACTCCCCTTTATGTTAGAATCATAATACACACAGAAAAAAAAATCAAAAAACATTCATTTAATTCATGTCAAACCGGCACAAACAATAAAAAACAAAATCAAATACATGTATATGGTTTTATTATTTTATTTTATTCTTGGATTCTTCAAATCCACCCTCAAAACTCATCTGTTTAGACAAGCCTACTCACTAACACCATAACCACTCTCTCCTCTGTCCATGATGCTTTTAACTTTGTATTTTAACTGTTTTAAAAAATGCACTTTTTTACTTGTATGTAAGGCGACCTCGAGTGTCAAGAAAGGCGCCTAAGAAATAAAATGTATTATTTATTAATATTATTATTATGCTTTGAAAATGACCCGCTCCCACAGACACAGACAGGCTATAGATCCAGTGTTCAGTCTCTAATAATTAAGCCAATTAATGGTTTTTCATACTCTTGAATATGCTTATACAATTTCATACTGAGGACCTTTTTTTCATTGCACAACACATTATCAATGGCCTGGTGTCTATATCTAACTTTGAACCATTTCTGCCTTTCCAGATGTCTTCAAGCACAGCGTGGGCCCAGCATGGATAATGGCGTTGATACACAATGAACAGTCTCTTCAAAGTGAACTGTAAACATGTGGTTCTGTCCTGTTCGAGTTCTTTGTCTCGAGACGTCCATGTTTGGATTTACTCTTTCTGTACACACACATTTGCCTGTTCCTCTACGGCTCATGTTTTTGATTATGTAGACTATGGTTAGAGTTTGTGTCCTCTCTGACAGATCTTATTCCTCCTCATGAAACACATTTGTCCATCAGATGTGGTCTGCGACAATTCGGTTATAATATTTGTGCTAATGCTTGTATTGAGAGCAGTAAATCCATCTCACGCGCTCCGACACATGTGAAGAACACAGGCAGATGTTTCTTTATGAAATATGCCTCATCACTCGGGGGCTTGTGCGCTTGAGTTGTCCGTCATCTTTTCCTGTTCACAGCTAAATAAGATGCAGATGGCAACAAGCTGAAATGGAGAAACATGAAAGAAATATTCCTTACAGAAAGTGAAAACAGAGAAGCTTCAATATGGGAATCACATCAAGTGTTTGCTGTAATCACTGGGCGTTTTCATATTGCATAAGCTTGTCCACATTACAACCTCTTACTTCTAACTTCTTAACAAATACATTTTCAATTGATCATTCTGACTCAGAGTATGTTTTAACGATGTACATCCATTGAATAATACGTAGTCGAGATATAGCTTCACAGATTTTGTAGTTGTGTTGCGCAAGAACAGGACAAAGGTGGTGGAGAATGAGCGTGCGAAGATCCTGTGGGACTTCCAGATACAGACCGACCGAATGGTGATGAACCAACCTGATATCGTGGTGGTAGACAAAGGGCAGAAGAAAGCCGTGGAGGTGGACGTGGCAATTCCAAGCGATGGTAACATCAGGAAAAAATAACACAAAAAGGTCTCAGAGAGGAGCTGGAGAGGGCCTGGAGGGTAAAGGTGACAGTAGTGCCCGTGGCGATCCGTGCACTCGGGGCAGTGACCCTGAAGCTGGAGGAGTGGTTACAGTAAAACCCTGGAACAACCTTGGAAATTATGGTTCAGAAATGTGCAGTGCTAGGAACAGCAAAGACACTGCGCAGAACCCTCAAGGTCCCAGGCTATAAGGTGAGGATTTTATATATATTTATGGTTCCTTGACCTTGAAATTACAATAAATTTACTTAAATACATCCTTATGTCTAGTTTGAGTGAATACATTTTTAAAATATATCTCAGGAAAGTAAGTTTTTTGGGTAACTAAATGACTAGAAATGTTATAAAAGCTTCAAGATTAAGTTGATAGCAAATTCATGGAACATAAAAAAACAATAGCATCTGTGAACTATAATTTTGAATACAATATTACTTTATGTTACATTTATTATTACTAATATACACAAATAAGCAGTTGAGAACCCGAAGTAATGTATATTTTGTGGCATGTAATTAACTAAATTGATCAGTTGCTAAAATAAACCCCGTCCACTTGTTTGACGTAACTTCCGCCTCCGCGTCATCAGTCCAACAAACATGGCGGCGCCCTGTCTGCGCACCGTGGGCTCTCTCACAACAAGATGTGGACTCTGCTGCAGAAATATCAATAGAATCTCCTCTCATGTGGGCGCACAGGTAAAGCGGAGTCCTTTATGAGTCCAAAGAACCCTCGTTGTGTTGTAATGACGGCGTTTGACTGTAAATATGCAGAGCTCACACTGACGTCCTTGATAGCTTCTGTCAGTAGCATCCTGTCCTGACACTGTGCATGTGTCTCATAACTAGCTTATTGTTTACAAGACTGTTCTTGTGGGTATGAATACAGCCATGTGTGTAATAGCAACACTATTGGGTTGCATGCAGCGGCACATTGACGGGTCAAGTCATCAAAGCACTTATCTAAGGAAATCCACCTTTCAACAACAATGTAATAATAACCAAGTAATATTGTTTTATTTGTAGGGCACCTTTCACAGTGATTGACAAAGTGCTTCACAAGTTATACACATGTCAAATTGCGTGTACATGATGTAAAATTCTTGTACAGATGGTCCAAAGGCCCTTCAGTGCGAGTTCGTCTGTGCACAAGAAGAACCAGGCTCCTGCGGGGCCAGAGAAGCACACGCCTGAGTTCATCCAGAAGCAGGTGCAGGAGTACAACATCGGCAAGAGGCACCTGGCCAACATGATGGGGGAGGACCCAGAGACTTTCACACAGGAAGATGTAGATGTAAGTAACACTGCTTATAATAAAAAAAGAAAATACTAATATATATATATTTTTATATGTATCTAAAAACGTAATGCTTTATGGCCCAATATTGATCACCGGTCAAAATGGTCTGCTCTGACAGTGTTGGCCCTGGTTAGTACCACAGCTCTGGTCGAGTTGGTCTGTGTTACCATTGGTGTAGTTTAAACTTATATTTAATTTATTTTGTCATGATAGTTACTAATTTTAAAAAGTAACCCACACACACACATTATATTATACTGTACAAACATTTTTAGGTTAAACCTGTGAAAAAATGTTTACATTTTTCTTCAGTGTGTGTACAAAAAAAAAACCTAGAGCCTAATAATATTGTTTGTAAAGATATTTTCAAGCCAAGTCACTCAAAATTATGCTAAGAGTAATGTCATACAAGCCCCAGTGCACAAATCTTGATCTTACATCTTTTTCTAGCTTTAACATGGAGTATGGGACCAAAGTCAGAGATGGTCATGAGACGTAAACCCTGTAAGCCGGTAGAGGTTACAGTGAGTGACTTGAAAATTATACATAAAATCAAGCCACAGCATTTTTAAATTGACATTGTACATTTTTGTGTTTAAATGATTGTATGTAATGATGCAAACGTGAATTAAGTGTTATAACTATGTCTGTAATAGCCGTCTTATCCGCTGCAAGTCAATCTTGAAGCTTATTGTATCCTGTATATTTTGTGGCGCCAAACCTGCAGCTGCTCGGTCAATTTCCCTAATTGTGTATCTTAATCTCTGGAACACCATCAGAAAGCCTCAGAATGGCTCAAAGCATTACAAACACCGATGCACCTTTATCGGGACAGGTGGCGCTCTGTGAAACCTGACTGCGCCGTCACGGTTAATCCGCCTGTTAGCGATGTCCCTGAAATCGCACAATTCCTCTTTTTGACAATAAATTAGCCTTTTGTGCTCTGAGCATTTAGCACAATTTCCCTCGCGTCCCTAACCCTTAATGAAGAGAGATGTTGGCTGCGGACTGTGAAAGCCAAAGTGACTGGTAGAGACGGGGCTCACGGCGGCAGAACGGCGGCAGAACGGCGGCTCAGGTGTGGAGCTGATGGAGACCACAGTGAGATGTTTACAGGCGCTGGAGGGCGGCCAAACCAACTGTCAAATAGAGATGTCACAGTTTGGCGGGCTTTTTTTATTGAAACTTCTCTAATGAAACAATTTAAACTTTTCTGTTTATAGGCATGAATATTGCAGAATTTGTGATCGTTTACCATGTCCCTGCAGTGCACGCCCACCGTTATTTCAAAATCAGAATTGGTATAATGCCGTTTTAAGTAACGGGAAAATGTTATACAAGTTAAAGATTTAATATAAAGGCGTGCGTAAAAAACTGTATACAAATATTTTCCTGCACATTAAGTTCAGTGGATAAAGTGCCTTTACCCACTTTTATTGAGTACTAAGACTGGTTAATATGACTTGAATATTGCAAAAACGGTTAACTGCTGCAAGTAAACTGCTGTCTTGTGGAAAACCAAGCTGACTCGGCTCGGGACCAGTGCAGGACCAAAATCTTAAAAAGGGAGCGTTAAGTGCCGTAAAGAAGTTGCAAAGCAACTGAAAATGGCTACTCGATTTTTAAAATAAAGTTCATAAATATAATGACATAAAAATAAGCTACAAATGGTAACGGGAAAAAGTCACAATATTAAGCTGAGTTATCACACTCTCAAAACTAAAACTCTGGGAGTTTAAGCCATTTTGCAATGGAAATAAAGTAATTTATTCACTGATACAGAGGTTCAATTTATCAATCCAAATAGTTCAATTTATCAATTTTAACCTAAATCCCAACAGTAGTTATCTCGGAGGACTCGGAAACCGTTCAGAGAATCAACAGTTCAACACAGAAATGCAATGATAAAAACACACATAAAGCCATAAAGGGCAGATGACCGATGTCCATAAAAGATGATAAATGTCATCATTCAAATGTTGTTAAATGTTGAGTGTCCTGGATCATCACCAGTCCTTTTAGTTAAACCCAGACAATGGTCCAACAGACCCTCCTGCATCGGCAAAGAATGACTCTTAAACCCAGTGGGAAAAAGTGAGAAACTTCTGTGGTTCACATTGAGATGCAATCGATTAATTCATTTATTGATATGAGTTTGTGCAGAACAGACGAAAGCACAATATGACTTCTTAAAGTTCCTTAATTTTATCTATTAGTTCCTCTACGGGTGCATTCGTTCACATTTTTGCACCATGTATCCACACCAATAAAAGGCCACTCAAACTTTGTTACATATTTTTGTCATCTCTTTCACTCCCTGAATAATCCCGCTCCAATTAGGGACTGACTTGTGGATTTGTGTGTGTGACAATCGCTCCCGTCCACAGCCACACGGCCATCTGCCCACGACTCACTCAAAACCTGAACCCTGAGCAAACTGCCCCCCGTCCCGAGTCCCTGCACCTGTCCGCGCTCAGCTGGTCGCATCGGAGACGTCACGGGTTGCCGCGGTAACGGCCCGCAGCCCTCCCGTGAACCCAGCGCCGGCAGATTGCTCCTGTCACCGTCCGCCGGCGTCCAGAGACCTGACCTCCGCGGTGGACGTGTCGGACGTGTCAGCCGCGTCGCTTCCTGTCAGCGCCGCGCAGATTTGAACATTTTTCTGTTTTTTTGTGTCCCCAGAGAAGCATCGCCTACCTGTTCCCCTCTGGACTGTTCGAGAAGAAGGCTCGTCCAATCATGAAGGTAAAATCACATCTCTAGTCAAGTCTGTTACATTACAATACACTATGATACATATTTAAACGTCGATTCATGTGAATTCCAGGTAACCATAAAGTTACAATTTGGATTATTTTTTAATTCAATTCAATTTGTTTTGTATAGCCCTAAATCCCAACAATAGTTAGAGCCATTGGTCCATAAAGGGCCGATGACCAATGTCAATAAATGTTGATGAAGTCTATAAATGTGAAATTTTGTTCTAAATTTGCACCTGAGATATTGTTGTATAACGCAGCTTTGTTCTCATCCCAGCACCCGGATGAAATATTTCCCAAGCAACGGGGTAAGGAAAATAATACTTCCATATTAGTTGTGATGCAATGTTAGTGCTGTGTGCTGCTGTAATCTCATAGCGTTTGAAATATCGGCGATGTTATAAGTTATTGCTATTTATCCACACACAAAAAAAAAAACATCTTAAGCCAATGTCTTATCTTGATATTTGTTTGCTTTATGTACTCATTATACATTTGGACGCACAGCTATCCAATGGGACGCAGATGGCCGGCCGTTCCATTTTCTGTTCTACACGGGCAAGCAGTCCTACTACTCCCTCATGCACGTAAGTCTGAGATGAAATGCTGTGTTTTTTTTTTCTGTGTGAGACGAGGTGAGGCTCCATCCACCTGCACCCACAGCACCCTCGGGTCATATCCCATTCAGCAGAGAGGGTTCAGAGGAGCCAGGGCTGATCCCGGAGGAGAGCACACACCAGAGCCTCTCCTCCACACAGAAGGGAGCAGCTGAGGGGGCCGCAGGGAGATTAGGGGGACGGGAGGACGTGACTGAAAAGTACAGCGGATTAAAGGCAGGCCCCTGGGGTACCCCTTCAGCTAACTCTGCCACAGTTTGTTGATCATGGCCACTGTCTGATTGCAGTGTGCTGGGAGACAGACTTGGCTGTTTTTTTTAAGGATGTCTTCTGCTGCAGTTATAAATAGACATCCATGAATCATTATGCATTTTTTTTTACCTCAATATTGATCTTAAAACCCCTTTAATGGTTACAGCATTGTCATTGCCAAACTGAGGTCAGGCTGCATATCACAATGGATTACTCGACATGCAAATTTGGCTTGGTATATAAAGAAAAACTATGACAGTGTTTTTCAACCAATTTGCACGTTGGTGTAACTTTAGATGTTTATTAGTGTGCCTTGGAAATGGTCCAATATTTCACCTTCTTGGTCAAAATCATGTGAAAAGAAGATGTTTTTGTGCTTGTTTGGTTTGCCATAGACTACACATTGATGAGAATGACTTTACAGACTTTATTAACTAAGCAGAGGTTCAATTTTGTATGAAAAGCAGTTGGTCTTGTAATTTTTTTTGCAACGACAAAGGTGTGCCATGGCTCAAAACTACACTGAACTATGATCACATGCTTTGAAACTCTTTAAGTCGCACTAAATACTACTGTACATGCAGAGCGGTTGGATATTTTTTTTTCACCCGTTGCTTCTGTGTAGTATTGAACGGTGAAAGTAAAGTGGTGCCTGCCCTTCCTCCACATGCTGTGAGGTTTGTCCCGTCTGCAGTGTCAGCGGTGTCCCTCCACTGCTCCCGTCTGCTCCTCAGGGGATGGAGGGTGAAGGGCAGGGGCTCCGAGAAGAGATGCACACAGAATGGACCGAGCATGCAAAGCCTTTTCCCAACACTCTGCTTCAGGCTTTGCATTTGGGAGACAACTTAGAGGTGCTCAAATTTTACTGAGCCCCTAGGCAAGTTTACTTGTATTGCACTTTTCATACACAAGGCACAGTAAGTGCTGAACATGGCATTGCTGAAATTTCCCTGCTGTGGGACAAATAAAGGATCTTAAAAATCATAATCGTTGTACATCAAAAGAGGAATGATGAATCCCTGATTTGTATGCACAGCTAAACAGAACTATTTGTAACTTGGATTCTGTTCCAGATTTTAGCTGCGTAAATCTGAAATCCGGCCACCCCATGTTTAGCCCTGACTCTGGGCACCAGCAGGAGGCCAGTCCCTCTGCTCCTCAGAGTCCGGTCTGGTTCATATGGCACTAACATGTCTCGGATGTACTTCGGTGCGAGGCCATATAGAGACTTGTAACAAGCAAACATTGCCAGAAGTGTTTTCCCTAAAACATTTGTCTGGCAACAACGGAACTTTGGGTTTGGCAAAAACAAGTTCTATCGGATCCTCCTGCTTTAATTATTACTATCTATATTCACTTTAATCGTTAAATATGCGGAATTTACGTTTGCTATCGACAATAGCACATGTCCAAAGAATGAACTAATACAAGAAGGAAGAGTGTTTGTTTTCTCTGCCTGACAAAGACACTGTGTGCAATACATTCTTCCAGTATTGCCCAGACAAAATGATCAAACTAATAATAATAATGATGATATTAATCGGGGTGTCATTTCAACCCCTCCTACGTTAGAAGCTGAAACGTTGATGTGTTCTCTCGCTCTCTTGCCCTTGTCCTTGTCCTTTGGCCTTTCGGGCCGCGCTGTATCTTCAGTAGGCTTCTGTGGCACATGCCCCGCGGCCACACTCCGCACCCCTGCTGTTGGTTTAAATAGGTGTGTCAGACATGTCTGGGCCCCTTCATTCATCCACTCCAGGAGCCGCGCCGAGGCCAGGAGGGGGCGGTGGTGTGTAACCCGCCTCCTCTGGCTGTTGTCGCCGTGTCGCGGGCCGTGACAGAATTAACCTGCGCTCTGCTCCGGTGAACCCATTTATGGACTCGGCCCGAAGGAGAGAAGTGATTTTACAGACTACACACAGCGGCGAGCTCTCCCACTACTGCTGGTGCCGTCACAAATAAACTGCTCGAATTCAAAACTCAAAATGTTAGATGATCACAGTTCATACGGTGAAGCCCGGCACATTTCCTCAAAGATTTTATGACAGATTCATGGTCCAGATCAACATCGTCAGAAACCAGACAAACGGTGTAGTAATAAATAGTTTTAGTCCATGATCTTGAGTCAAAAGTTTAATTCTAACTTATTATGAAACTCACAATAACATTAGAATTATGTATAGGCCATGTTAGACATCAGCACTTATGGATGAGAATTGCAATTAGAAATGCATTGAAGTATGGTATTCTATCTTGTTTGAGTGATTACAATAACTTTGCTTGAATTAAACAAATGGTTTCTTGGCTGCTCCTGTTTCCGGCGCACTGAAACCCCCAATAGTCCCAACTTCATTTAAAAACCTTTCACATCGCTTATACGTCTTACCCCAGCTGTCTCCATAACCGTATAAATGAACATACTTTTTTTTACCGGCCCTTATATCAAAGCTGCTTTATTCCACAGTATTGTTCCGTCCCGGTGTGCGCAAACATGTCTCACACACGAGCCTTATCCGGGCCCGCCGTCCTCCACACTCCCTCTAATACACTTTTTTTTTTGAATGTGAAGAATATTGGTTTTTCTTGATGTTTGCACTTTCGGGCCCCCGCCTCTACACCTCTTGTCTGACTCAGGCCGCAGCGGCAGAAGGGATTAGGCGCACTCCATCAAAAAGGAATTAAACAAACAAGTGGGGAATAATTGACGGGAAATTGGGTTCTCACACAGGAGCCTGAGCAGATACTGGCGAGCTGCTGTTGTCACGGTATACATTACACACGCAGCCATCTTGGAATATTAGATCCGCTCTTTGACTGAATTAATTTTGTCTTGAATTTCTTGAGGTTTATCTCATGTAAATCATGAATATTTTGTGTTTGTCAGTGAAAAAACCAGTGAAACTACATGTATTGGTAGCCTCTTCCTGCCTGTAACGCTTAAGCACCGATTACTGATGCAATCCACCTGCTGGGTTATGACTAGAAACAGTACAAACTCTGCATTACATTTAACTAAGTGTTGTTGTACCTGGTTACGCAACATTTTTTGTGTGTGTAAATGTTGTTGTGAAAAAGAGAAACGTAAAAAAACCAGCTACATTTTCCCGAACAAACTGGCAACCAAAATGAGAGCCTCATTCTGCTCGTTCATTGGATAATCTGCTTAAATATCATACATGTGCATTGCGTTTTTAATTCGGACTAACTTTTGTAAAGAAAAGGCTACACATTTTTAGTTGACTCGTATAACGGAGAACATGAACGTTGTCCTGTCCTTCTTTGTCAATATTTACTCAAGTGAATGCAATGTTTTGGTTGCTATGCCATTCAAACATGAACAATTGGAATGCAAATATCATTTTAAGTTGAAGTCAAATCATGCCCGTTATTGCCTTGCTTGTATTTTAAAATACAAGAAGTACATTTAGTAGTAGGGAGTATACCGTTTTAAATAAATACTGTTTTTCCTGTGACTAGGAGTTGTACGGAAAAGTCCAGGGCGTGGAGCGGTACCAAGAGCGCATGAGAGCGAAGGGCCTCTTCAACAGTACCGACCAGATGATGTGAGTGTGTGTCTGTGTGTGTGTGTCTGTGTACATGTCATAACGTAATAATACAAAATAGGGATCTAATAAAACTCTTGTGTTGTCACTTTCCAGTTCACTTGGGAGCAGCCGGTGGTTAACCAGAGAGGAGCTGGAGGAGCAGTTACTAGAGACCATCTCCATAGAGAATGTAAGGAAATGTCTTTAAAATGCTCTGATTCAGATAGAAAGGTACTTCAGGTGTCCAGCAGCAGCGAAAACACATCCATTCACACAAACAACACAAGTAAAGTCTAAAAATCTAACAGTAGTAATGATAAAATGCTTGTATCAGCCCTTATGTTTAATTGCTGCTTCTTGTTCTTGAGCCCGTCTTTCCTTTTTGAACTTTTCAGCACTAACATTTGATCCCAAACTGAACACACTTACGCAGCGATGTGTTTGACTGTTGTTCTGACCGTTGTTCTGGGCCCTCAGTACACTCGCCTGATCCAGCTGATGGAGCGGCTCCTGACCATGCCCTACTGCGCCACGGAGGAGGAGTTCGTCGCGCGTTTCCGACACAAACTGGACGCTCAGGCGACCAATCAGATGGTGCCGCCGCTGCAGACGGACGAACACGGAGTGGCCTTCAGCACAGCGGAAGGTACACTCCTGTAAACAGCGTATCTTGTCAAAAGAACGCATTGTACGGCGCTGTCAAATCCCCAAAGAGTTCACTAGAAATGTTAACAGTAATGTTTGTTTTTTGTTCTGTTTTTTTTGACATACTTCCTGCAAAATATCACCCAACAGACCCTCCCCGAACCACATTTATTATTAGGTACATACATATACTGTATATAGCGTTGCTTACTTCTTGTTCGGCTTGTGTTTTACTAGTTTATGTGAGTGTAGGGGACAGTGGAAGAAGCAAAATACTGCACTCGTGGAAATTCAACCATCACAATAAGACGTCACTGCAGACTCCATTTGAAATACTTCTGGTCCTCACTGTAATGTAGACGGTGGTCAGCAGCAGATGTGTTCTGTGTGCAGGACGCAGGAAGTCGTCCACCTGCTCCGTGCGTCTCCAAGACTCTGGCTCTGGTCACATCTCCATCAACGGCCTCGACTACATCCTCTACTTCTCTGTGCTCCAGGACCGGTACATGACCCGCTCTCTCTCATTAATGATCACCACCGTGTTACAAATAAATGATAATATCTGCCGTGGCTATACCCTTTTCAGAAGTTGTAAGTGAAGCTGACGAAAGGTACAAAAGGGAAAGTATCTGAATAGAAATGAATCAAAGAAAATTATGAACGAAAAATGTGGTTCCTCCACATTTTTCGTTCATAATTTTCCAGGTTTAGAAAGTGTCCCGGATTCAGAAGTTCATGTAGCAATTAAGAGGACCACTTAAAGCTGCATTAACTTACTTTGTGAAAGGCCTCGCTCTCTCTGCTCCCCCTCCCCGCACTCACTAAGCTATCGCCCCCCACTACCCTCACCCCCTCAGGTTAGCCTCCGCCGTTTGTTTACCTTAGCTGTCTTCTGCTAAAAAGAGACCTGTGGCTTTTCTCAAGAAAGTGGGGGCCAGTGGTCCGCTGTGATTGGTCACAATCTGGTCCCGAAACACATTCTCTTCCTTGTTGCACGGAAACACCAGCACAAATCTGCGCTACTTTTTCTTTAAAAGGACGTATATCCCAATGCACTGCATGCATATGGATTGAATTTTTGTAATGAATACAAAAATAAAGTGAGGTAATGCAGCTTTAAGTTAACCAGACTGGTCCAGGGGCTGACAATCCAGATGTGAAATGGCAGGTGGTGAGTCCACAGATGATAAATCCAAGATGGCGCCGGGGTGTCTGGTTCGCCGCTTGACTCTGCTCTGTTTGATCAGTTTTATATTGTTTTTAACACATTTCACGAGGACCATAGACTCATTGATTGTGTACAATCGCCATGAGCTGCTAAATATAAGATTAAGAGTGAATACCTGCACAATTCATGATGCAAACCAGTCGGATTCATTCTACCTGGCGGATTTGCCCGAGTGTCTCCGGTGCGTGAATGCGCCCCTGCCGAGGAAGCGTAAACGCCGCCGTGGAGTGCGAGCCGGCCGGCTTGTAAAGCTAAAGGCCTGGCTGGCGTGTTCTCCGGGCTCCGTGAAATCCCACATAGTCCCAGCAGACTATGGCAGCAGCCTTCAGCGTTACGTGTCCAGACGCAAGCTTGTGTCCATCGGCTCCTGGTTGGTTCCCGTTTTTGGACAGCAGGAGGAGGATGTCTGTGCGCTGCGCCCTCGTTCTACCCGGGGTACTGGCGGTGTTACTCCAGGAAACCTGCGCTCACTGAGCCGGGCAGATCCCGCGGCTTGCGGGTCTACGGCTGTTGTGAAATGCGCACTCCTGAACGCAAGATCAATTGTGAACAAGACATTTATTCTGCAAGACTTTTTTACGTCGCAGTCATTGGATTTACTGTTTCTGGTTGAGACGTGGGTCAACAGCGGTGAGTCAGCTGCCTTCTCCGAGCTTTTACCCCCCGAGTGTACATTTATTAATGTGCCAAGAGCCACCGGTCGTGGTGGTGGCATAGCTACTGTGTTAAAGAACTCTCTCTACCACAAGATTTTATCCCCGGAGCCTGTTTCTTTGTTTGAACTGAGCTGTTTTGAGCTGCGTCAGACTGAGCCTGTGTTGTGTGCTGTTGTGTACAGACCACCAAAATACAACAAAAACTTCATCAAGGACTTCTCTGATTTTATGGCTCTTATGTCAACACGTTATGACAAGATGTTGCTGGTTGGGGATTTTAATGTGCATGTATGCTGTCCTTCAAAGCCCTTGGCCCAAGAGTTTTTAGATTTGGTTGATGTTTTTAATTTGACTCAGCATGTGAGTGGCCCCACGCAAATACATGGCCATACGTTAGACCTTGTGCTGTCCTATGGTTTTCCTGTGGTCGATATATCTGTTGGGGATGCGGTATTTTCTGACCACAGTCCTGTTCTTTTTGGGCTAATGTTGCAAAATGAGATGGGACCGATATGTCCTATGTATCATAGCCGCTCTATCAAGCCAGCAACTGTAGAGACCTTTTCAACTGCATTCAATGCAGCAGTAGATTTACAGTCTTTTAGAAACCTCTCCATGGACTCTGAGGAATTGATGGAGTCATTTATATCCACCTGTTGTAGTGTTTTGAACAATGTCGCTCCACTAAGAGCTGTGCGTCCTAAACCTAAACAGGAGCCATGGCTTAACGAGGTCACACGCACTGCGAGGCGTGAGTGTCGTAGAGCTGAGCGCAGGTGGAAAACTGACCATTTGGAGATTTCTCACCAAATGTATAAAGACAGTTGGAGCACTTATCAAAGCACTGTTTTTAAGGAAAAAACGAGGTATTTGTCTAATCTTGTTGTAGAAAATATAAACAAACCTCGAATTCTTTTTAAAACTATTGGTTTAGTTTGTAACCCCAGTCCTTCCACTACTTTGGAAATGACGAGTGAAATGTGTGAGAAGTTCCTTGTCTATTTTACCACTAAGGTTGAGAATATTAGAGTAAACATGGTGGCTTTTGTTTCTTCTTTGAACAATGCTCTAATCACACAGTGCTCTTCTGTTTTTAGTCACTTTGAGCCTGTGTCATTGTCTGTCATCACAGGGATCGTTGACAAGCTAAAACCTTCATCCAGTCCCACAGACCCAGTTCCACCTCGCTTCTTTAAAGAGGTCTGGACAACTATTGGACCTTTTGTTCAGGAGATAATAAATACGAGTCTGTGTTCTGGGGTTGTCCCTTCCTTTTGTAAATCAGCTGTAGTAGAGCCATTAGTTAAGAAACCTGGACTCGAGCCTTCAATCTTATCAAATTATCGTCCTATTTCAAAACTCCCCTTTGTTTCTAAGATTTTAGAAAAAAGCGTAATTTCCCAGTTGCAACCTTTTTTAAATGAAAATTGCACTTTAGACCCTTTCCAGTCTGGGTACAAAGCTTTGCACAGCACTGAGTCTGCACTTTTAAAGGTTTTTAACGACCTGCTTTTATTGGCAGATTCTGGAAATTCTGCTGTTTTAGTGCTTTTAGACTTGACTGCTGCGTTTGACACTGTGGACCATGCAACTCTTTTAAATCGTCTTAAATACTGTGTGGGTGTCAGGGGGACCGCCCTGGACTGGTTTAGGTCATACCTGTCAGGGCGGTCCTTCACTGTCAGGCTGGGGGACTCCACATCCACCTCTGCCCCTTTGCACTGTGGAGTTCCCCAGGGCTCAATTCTTGGCCCTTTGCTTTTTGCCCTGTACCTCCTCCCACTTGGTGACATTTTTAAAAAACATGGAATGTCTTATCACTTTTATGCTGACGATTGTCAGATTTACATGCCTTTGTTAAAAAATGATCACAGCCCCCTGACGCCTCTACTCAACTGTCTGAGTGACGTCAAGGATTGGTTGGCTCAAAACTTTCTTAAACTCAATGAAAATAAGACAGAGGTTATTTTATTTGGCCCTAGTCCCCCCCTCATTGACCTGGGGCCCTTAAAGGACCATGTGCGCCCCACAGTCACCAACCTTGGCGTCATCTTAGACAGTGATTTTAAACTTGATAAGCAGATTAATCGCGTTTTAAAATCAAGCTTTTATCATTTGCGGCTTTTATCTAAAGTCAAACCTTTTTTATCTTTTAATCTTTTTGAGCAGGTCATGCACGCTTTTATTTCGTCACGCCTGGACTATTGCAATGCACTTTATGCGGGCATCCCCCAAAACGCACTTTCCCGTTTGCAGTTGGTCCAAAACTCAGCGGCACGACTTTTAACAGGAAGCAGAAGGCGCGATCACATTACACCAATTCTGGCTTCGTTGCACTGGCTTCCTGTTCATTTTAGAATCAATTTTAAGATTTTATTGTTTGTTTTTAAAGGTTTGAATGGACTGGCCCCTCCCTACATCTCGGACCTCATCCAAATTTACCACCCGCCCCGCGCGCTGAGGTCCGAGGGCCAGCTCCAGCTCGTGGTGCCTAAGACCAGACTTAAAACCCGGGGGGACAGGGCCTTCTCTGTGGCTGGACCAAAGCTGTGGAACGCTCTGCCCCCCCACGTCAAAACAGCTCCTTCAGTGGAGTGTTTTAAGTCTCGTCTTAAGACCCATTTTTATGCTCTGGCTTTTAACACTACGTGAGTTGTATGGTCCTTTTATTTTATTTTATTTCATCTTATTATTGTTATTTTTGTGTTTATACATATGCACACACGGTTTTTCAAATTTGATTTTTTATTATTAACTGTCTTACTATGGATTTATTTTTGGTATTTTATTGTGCAGCACTTTGGAAACTGTGTTTATGAAATGTGCTATATAAATAAAGTGGATTGGATTGGATTGGATTGAAATGTTTTCCCTGATATTGGGCTGTTCTGAGCTTTAAAATGATACAAGTCCATATTGATTCAGGACTTGAGTTCACTAGTCTTGGCTCACAGCACAGCTACATTCTACATTCAATACAATCAAAAACAAAGCAGTCCCTCTCACCATGGTCCAAGGGGGGACCTCCATCCCTCAATTTGTTATTTTCCCACATCATAAAGAGACTGGCATTATTTAGCTGTTTAAAACTTCTAAACGGCTGGTAACATGAACAGGGAGTTGTAAAGTTATCGGTATAATTCAGATTAAAATAAGCCAAAGGATCTTTCATAAAGGCAGAATAAGAGTGTAGTAGATGAATGACCGTGTTAACCGGACTTTGCATCAGGATGTGGCGGCCTCTCACACCCACCTCTGTCCCCTTTGCTCCTGTGGCAGAGAGCAGATCATGTTCCCGTTCCAGTTCACCAACACGCTGGGCCGCTTTGACCTGCACGCCACTGTGGAAGGAGGGGGGAGGGCCGGCCAGGCGGGGGCGCTGCGGCTCGCCATCTCCCGCGCCCTGCTCAGCTTTCTGCCCAAGGGAGACGTGGAGAACCTCCGACAGGGTGAGCGGCGTCTGACACTGCACTGCTACAGCTCCGGCTGTGTTTGTGGCTCTGGTCACGATCACTTCTGCTCAGGATACTGCGCTTTTATCTTCACACACTGCGTATTATGGTCGACAAGTTCTGGATTCATAACAGACCTGATAATGGGGAATCAAGGCCTTTCACACATGTACCAACCTACAGCAATGATACACACAGGCAGACGCGCGCAGGTACAGGCAGAGGCGCGCAGGTACAGGCAGAGGCGCGCAGGTACAGGCAGAGGCGCGCAAGTACAGGCAGAGGCGCGCAGGTACAGGCAGAGGCGCGCAGGTACAGGCAGAGGCGCGCAGGTACAGGCAGAGGCGCGCAGGTACAGGCAGAGGCGCGCAGGTACAGGCAGAGGCGCGCAGGTACAGGCAGAGGCGCGCAGGTACAGGCAGAGGCGCGCAGGTACAGGCAGAGGCGCGCAGGTACAGGCAGAGGCGCGCAGGTACAGGCAGAGGCGCGCAGGTACAGGCAGAGGCGCGCAGGTACAGGCAGAGGCGCGCAGGTACAGGCAGAGGCGCGCAGGTACAGGCAGAGGCGCGCAGGTACAGGCAGACGAGGCAGAGGCGCGCAGGTACAGGCAGACGAGGCAGAGGCGCGCAGGTACAGGCAGACGAGGCAGAGGCGCGCAGGTACAGGCAGAGGCGCGCAGGTACAGGCAGAGGCGCGCAGGTACAGGCAGACCAGGCAGAGGCGCGCAGGTACAGGCAGAGGCGCGCAGGTACAGGCAGAGGCGCGCAGGTACAGGCAGAGGCGCGCAGGTACAGGCAGAGGCGCGCAGGTACAGGGTAGGAGGGAGGGGGAAGAAAATTAGTCAGCAGTGATTACAGGTGACTGAAAAGATGACGAGAGGGGAAACTCTTAGATATATGAATGATAACAGTAATAAAAACAATATGAATATTTTATACAAAAAAAGAATAATTAAATGTATATATATTGACAATTGACATTTTATAGTTGAAATTCCTACCCATTTAACTGGTAGTTTGTCTAGAAATCACATTTTAAGATTGACAGGTAGTTCAATCGCCATGAACGTCTGTATTTCACACACAATCTCAGCTCTTTCTTTAAACCACCAACAAATCAGCTGATCAAAGTCCTGTATATGCGGCCCAGCACATCTTTTATATCAGCTTGCCGTGAAAAAGAGATCCAACCCTCGCTTTAGTTATAAATCATTATTTTGTTTTAAATGTGTGAATTTAAGGCTGAATTAAAAACCATTATACAGTTGGTACCAGTTGGAGCTGCATCTGTCTTATCAGCCTCTTTGTCAGTTCTCACATATAATCAGCAGGGGGCAGCATTTCCCTTGTGAAGAAAGACCAACTGTGCGTTTCTGTCGAATTTCACGTTGACCTTCTCTTCCTGTCTTAGCTGGCCTGTTGACCCCTGACCCCAGAGTGAGGGAGAGGAAGAAGCCGGGTCAAGAGGGAGCAAGGAAGAAGTTCACCTGGAAGAAACGCTGACACCATATTCTAATCACTGGCCTCATGGATCTGAAATAAATTATGTTTTTTATGAATTTTAATTGTTTGGTTATTTCACAGAAACTTAGATTGTTTGTAGTGAAAAGATGCTGTTTGTACAACTCGCCACTAGAGGTCAGTGCAGTTTATGAAGCCTCTTGAGAGATCTACTGTCACGTTACTGATTTTTGAAAGCACTTTAGACTTTATTTATTCCCGTAGGGTTATTCATCCTCTGCATTTGACCTGTCCTGATGCCACTCTGGGGTCTGAACATTTTAAAAGCACGTCAAACTGAAAGCCACCAATGTGTTCTGTATTATTTACACCAAAAATGAGTCAAGTGTTTCTCTGAAGTCCTCTGTTGAATACTGGACGAGCTTTGACGTCTTCCTCAAAGAATTTCATCTATTAGTTCCTTCCTATTGCTTGAACACATTTTGCTAAAATTTCGCTCATTGTCCAAAAACTCACTCACACAAGAACCTGACACAGCACTGGGACATAAACCATTCACATCTGTCTCAAAATGAAGCTACCAAAACTCTAACTCTGCTCTCAAAAACTAAACATTCCTTTGTCAAAATGAAACAAAGTTAGGACAAATTGATACGAGAACACTTTCAGATTAGAGGCAACACACTAGAGAGTACTTTATAGAAAACACTGCAGTCATTTTCACTGGTTTTATTCTGTTTATCAATTAGTTTTCTGTGAAGCTCAAGTGAAGCGTTTTTGTTCTCAAAGTTTATCAACAACCAGGAAGTAGTCAAAGGCGACAAATGTCATCTTATAATACTATGTATTTTCTATATGGTATCAGTCGTGAAAGCCTTTTCTCACACGAGCGAAACCTAGCTGTGTGGATTTTGTTCACGTTTTGCACTTTTTTAATCCAGAATGCTAGTCCAGACTACAGGGATTTGAAGCCCTCTTGATCTCGCTTGCTTCCCTCATGGTGAGGCAATAATTGATCACATGATCCACCAGAAGTTGCTCTGTCTTTGGATATAATGTCCTGTACATGGCCTCTTCAACCTCCTCTCCTTGTCTTCCTCTTGCTCTTATCTCCAAAGTTCTGAAATTGGCTAAACTGAAGCCTGATTATGTCTGGCTGATGTGTTTTGTGAGTGTTTTCAATCACACAATGTTTGGTATTTTGAAAATGTATTTTCCCATAGATTACACCGAATTGCATTTATAAACAGTGTCTCATGTATGAAACAGTGTGTAATAAGCAGGAGAAAGAGTTGCAGAAAGTAAAGTGCGGTGATTAAGGTTTAGTCCAGAAGCTTCAGGTTCAGGTCTATGCATGTGTCTAGTGTTTAAGCAATAGGAAAAAAACTCAAAATATATTTAACTGCATACTATACATTTTATTTTGTCATATGTCGCTACCAGTGTTGGGGAAGTTACTACAGTAAATAATAATAACTTTTGGTAACACTTTATTTTAGCACCCACTAACTAACAGCTAATTAAGTGCTAATTAGTGTATTAATGTATGGTTAATTAGCTCTTTATTGGTATTTATTAAGCACTTATTAGTCCTTATTCTACATGGCCTTATTCAACATCTAACTCACTATTAACTGGCGCTTTCCCATTTATTAGTTCTTTATTACTGCTCATTAGCCAGCAATTACATAGTTGTTATAGTGTGAATATGCATCTGGGATTATGGGTCTTATTAAGTGTTAATAATACACAAACTGTTGTTAGCCATTATTACCTCTTGATGAACATGGACAGATCTTTAGAAATAAAACACAAATAACATTCTCATTTTTGTCAATTAGCTCCTAATTAATTAGTTATAGCTGAGAATATGTTCCCCATTCTAAAGTGATGTTGTGATCATAACTAACAAACTAAACCCAAATAGGTCTGTATTCTAAAGTGGTCTTCTCTTCATGCCTAATAAAGGAAAAATTACATTGTTTTTGCTTTTTAAATTGTCACTCAAACGTTTTTACCATCTTACATAAAACAATCAACTTCAATAAATCATTTTCAACATTTATTTGTTAACAACTCAACTTGTACAATATGTGAGCTTGATGCTTGAAATGCAAAGAAAAACATTTGCCAGAAAAGCAACAGTAACCCAATGCTAAAAAATAAAGGTAACAACATAAAAACATGTCTGACAAGTGCGACAAAACAGCAAAGGGTTAATATATAAGAAAACGCTAACCATTTTAATATTTGACCGTTAGTGGCAAAAGTTTGCCTTTGGATTTCATGTTTTTGAATGATTGCCTTTTTCTCTATTGTGACATTGCTAGCACACCTATTAGCAAAAGAGATTAGGGTTTCAGTGGATGGGTCAAATGCTAGGGCCTTGTAGGTGACAGGATCCACAATGCTGAGTTCTGCAATGGGAGCCGTGAGTTTTATTGTGCCACGGTCCACATTGTTTGCCCTGAAAGCTTCAGTCATTGTTCTAACCCGTTGGAATGTTTTTAGAACTTGCTTATATCTTTGGATGGCTTCATCAGGTGTCTTGACTGAAAAAAAAGAAACAAATAAAATCAAACAACATTACATTAATTAGTCTCCCGCCACAGGGGTGTGAAAACGGCATGCTGTCTGAACCATGCCAGAGTAGTACAACGCCCGGTCCAGCTGGTGGCGCTAATAAAAACTCCAGTGACTACCACGTTGTCAGAGTTGAGTTTCCGCTTTTTTCCTGTTTACATTCTGCTACTGCAGCTAACAGGCTCGGGCATGCAACGCGTTGTTTGCATCCGAGCAATGTGAAGTGTGAGATAGATATGTCATTCCCCAGAATTCAGTAGTGGGACACGTGTGTGTTGTCTGTGTTTGTGGGCGTGCCGCAGACACAGGAGCGCGCCTTTATAGTAACGAGCGTAAAGAGCTGAGAATGAATGAATGAAAAACAGAAAAGTGGCTACGAGCGACCAGAGTGTGCGAGTGTGTGTTCTGGCGATTAAATAAAGACTGATTCTTGAATGTCTGAAGTGTTGTTGCAATAGCACCACACTGAGAGCGAGGGTCAGGACTAGGGGTGCAGCGGTTTGAAAAAAATCACGGTTCGGTTCGTACCTCGGTTCAGAGGCCACGGTTCGGTTCATTTTTTGGTTCATTTAAAAAAAAAAAGTGTTGTCTTTTTAATAAACACGGCACCTGCAGGAGGATCAGCGAGGGGCTGGTGCTCTGTGTAGGTGCAGCTCTGACTGCCACCCCCCTGACCTAGAATGGATTAAGGGGACCACCACCCGTGACACTGACCCCCTCATCCGCGCTGCAGAAGCGTGCCCTGGCCGCAGTTTTGATTGTAGTTTTGAATTGTGCTGAGACACATGGTGCGGTCACATTGCACCTAAAGCCCAAATCTAATCGCGAAGCGAGCCCTGGCACACTTTAACCAGGCTTTAGGCTGCGCATGTGACCGCAGCCTTAGAATAACAGCCTATTTATCTTTAAAAACCAGTTGCTCCCATGAAATTTGGGGTAGAACTAAACACCTAAATCTAGTGGACTAGACATATCATGTTGTGAAAATATTTGAAAACTGTGTTGTGTCATACTGTTAAAATAAACATTGCATAACAGACTGTACCTCTCATGTGAGTTCGCCCCAGCACTGCTACTTCATCTGAAGAATCATAAGACTGTCTGATTTTTTTCTTCTTCAATACAGTACCATCGCTGTCGCTTTCGCTCATGTTTGGTGATGATGGTATTTCGGTGTCTGAATAGTAATCCTGTTTTGTTTTTGTATGTTTACGTTGAGCTGCAAGCAAAACATTGAATTAATAAGATGTATTCATGCAAAAGACAATGAACGTTTTTATAAAATGCTGTATATTACTTACATGTGGTCTTATTATCTCTCATTAATTGTTCCCGAAGAAACTTCCGCTCTTCCTCCAGGTCTAAAATCATTTTCTCTTGCCACTCAATTTTGGCTTGCAGGAATGTAATTTTCGACACTGAAACACACAAACAGATAAAAATTCAATATTACTAAATATTTTAATATACTAAAAATAATTAGATTTTGTGTGTGCTACAATGTGTTACATTGGTGCACTTTTTTAAGCCTACTAGATGGAAGTCTGTGTTATGAGCATATGCCATGACTTTCACAACCATGTCTAGTGTTGTCATTATTACAATTAAACAAACAAAACCTGATTCCACACTTCCACTCTGGCTGCTGCAACTTGGAGCGCTTTCTTGATCTGTAAAATAAATAATAAAACATAATTAAGTCACCTAAAAATATTTTAAAAAATACTACTACTAACCTTCTGGCACACACTGTGTCAGGTTCAGGGGTGACTCTGGTGACGCTGGGGCCTCCATTGGAACACTCTTTCGCTTCTTTTGAGCTTTAGGCTGTGAACAGTAAATAACGTTACTTGAGTAAATGTAATTGTGGTAATTAATTTCCTTTAGATCATTTGTGTTTGCTTAAAAAATTCACACAAGAAATCTGCTGTCACAGCTTACTTTTATTATGTGGGGGTGTTGTTTAAAAGCACAATCATTGAAGTTAGCTAAGTGTGACCAGAGTAACTTATCATCGGAGTCAGCTAACAGTGTGACCACAGTAACTTATCATTGAAGTTAGCTAACAGTGTGACCACGGCAAATTTTCCATTCCGTAAAAACGTACAAACTTTGTGTATATAATTTTTGCTCGATATAATACAAACTACCACGTGTGCTGTGAAATGGAACCAAAGATTAACTTACCATCTTTGACTTTTTCTTTATAAGTTGTAACGCTTTGTTTGTAACAATCCAGTTGAGCCCACGCTAGGTTATTACAACAGAGCGAACTAGCGAGGTTAGTGCGGGTCAGAATCCCGCTCAAGAAGGCGGGTCCTAAACTGATTGGCAGTACAAATTAAGAAGTTTTTTTGGTACGGTGACATTAACAGTAGAGATGGTTCGTCTGCACTGTGCCGAGTGAAACCTACAGTCTGGTGAAACCCTGTGATGGTGCATGTAGCTTTAATAAAAAATCACGTGACTGATACAAAAACCGTGTTGTTTGAATGCGCTTGCGTGTTTATAATGATTTTTTTTTTTTTTTTTAATTGAACAAATCAAACAGGCTTAAATATTTAGTACAATCTCAGTTTCGTGCCGTATAAAAACAAAAAACAAAAACAAAAGAACAAATTAAGAACGTAGAAAGCCACATTACTGAGTCACAAGGGTCAGAGGTAAATTCACAATATTTTTGTACAACCGAATTGCTTTCGTTGAATTACAAAGCTTCAAAGAGTCCCTAACGATTGACAGTTCGCTCAGAAATATCCTAAACAAGGGTTTGGAATTACTAAATTTACATTTGTGAATAAAAAATACAGCCATGAGAATAAAATTGTTAATTGTAAATTCTTTGTTTTTGTCTTCCAGTAGAACTCCAAATTTTATGTCATGATAATTAAAGTCCATAATACCTAAAGTATTGCCAACAGACCAAGCACAGAAACTATCCCAAAATATTTTTGAATGCACACATGTGAAAAAAAGATGTTCTTCTGTTTCAATATTGGTATCGCAAAAAACACACAAATTATCGTCAGTATTGAATTTGGAGTGTAAAAATTCTTTGCACGGGTATACATTGTTCAGTAATTTAAATCTAACTTCTTTAGCTTTAGGTAGAACAGGGAATTTAATGTAACTGCATCTGAAAATCTTGACATTGTGTTTAGGGAGATCCTTCATAATATATTGTCTTCTTAACGGCAAAGGGAAGTATTTATTGGACAATGCTGCTCTTAGAAATTTGTTGTTACATTTTTTGTCCGTGAAATTACAATTTAGCACGAGTAAAGGATACATTTTTGGAACCAATTGTGTATACATTAAAGATCCCCTAATTGCACAAACAAGAGCTTGTGGAATAGCCTTGACTACTTGTAAAAATTGTTGCCTAGTGGTAATCACATTGTATTTCTGGGTGAAATCAATAAACTGAAGAAAATTACCTGTATCATCCATCAAATGTAAGACTGACCATATTCCATTTTCATGCCAATGCTGATAATAAAAGGATTTCCTTCTAATCAGAATATATCTATTATTCCATATAGGTGTATTATGTGGCGAAAAATTGTGACAATATATCAATTTCCAATACTGGAGGACTTGCTCATGAAATTTGGATAATTTAGTAGGTAATTTTGATATTTCAAAGTCACATTGTATCAGAAATCCAATTCCACCGAAATTCGAGAATATTTTTGAGGGGAGACTGAACCAGAAACTATTTAGATTTGTAATAAAATTCTGTAACCATCGAAGTTTTAAGGCACCATTCATGGGATCAAAATCAATAGCATTCAAACCACCCTCCTCTACAGATTTTACAATATCGTTTTTCCTGATATGATATTTATTTTTCCAGAGAAAATTGAAATTAATTTGGTTAATTTGCTTCATCATTTTTGAATTCACATTCAAAGTGTATGCAGGATAAATTAGTCTAGATAGACCTTCCATTTTAGAGAGCAGTAACCTTCCAAATATAGAGGTCTCTTTGTAACCACATATTCAAAATGGATTTACTTTTCTTAAGCACACTTTCAAAATTATTCTTTTCTCTGTCCGCTTCATTTTTTGTTATGCTAATCCCTAAATATTTGATCTGATCTTTGACAGGTATACCACATAATGATATTGGAGGGTGGTCATGAATGGGCATTAATTCACATTTTTTGATATTTAGATAGAGCCCAGAGGCTTCAGAAAATCTATTTACAACTTGGAGAGCAATTGGTATTTGTGCCGCATTTTTTAAAAACAATGTGGTGTCGTCGGCAAGCTGACTTATAGCAAGTGGGCGACCTGCAACATCTAATTTTTTTAGGTTCTCACATGTTTTGATCATGATACTTAAAATTTCTGCAACTAAAATAAATAATAGTGGGGATGACGGGCAACCCTGACGAATTCCTTTTTGGATATCAAAACGTCTGCACGAGCCAAAGGGGAGTAGAACAGAACTATTAATGTCACTATACAACATCTGGATGAGTCCACAAAAGGCATCTCCAAAACCAAAGTAGCGTAGTGTGTCTAACATAAAGGAATGGTCTACACAGTCAAAAGCCTTTTTAAAATCCAAAAATAAAATAAAACCGTCATCGTCGATTTTGTCTCTATAATCCAGTAGGTCAAGCACCAGTCTAATATTGTTGTGGATGGAGCGACCTTTGAGGAAACCTGATTGAGTTTCACTTATTATTTGAGAGATTCCATCTTTAAGCCTATTTGCAATAACATGAGCTAACAATTTATAATCTACATTGAGTAGTGTTATTGGTCGTAGATTATCTAGATATTTCTTGTCTTTCCCGCTTTTTGGGATGAGTGATATAAGACCTTGTTTCATCGTGGTCATTAATGTTCTATTTTTGATACATTCCTGTAGGGCAAAAAACAGTAAGTCCTTTATGTCCTCCCAAAAATGCTTATAAAAATCTGATGAAAGGCCATCTTGACCTGGAGACTTCCGTAGGGACAACTGTTTGACTGCAATATCAAGTTCAAAAATCTCAATGTCTGAGTCACACAAGTTTTTAAAGTCTGCAGAAATGGATGGTATGTGGTGTTTTATGCTTTCCAAAAGTACAGAGTCTCTGACTGCATCAGTACAGGTGTATAAAGCTTTGTAGAATCTATAAACTTCTTCAGTGATCAAGTTAGGGTCTGTGCATTCATTATCATTTACAATTAGAGTGGTAATGAGGTTTCTTTCCTGTCTCCTTTTCTCAAGACCACAAAAGTATGCCGTATTGCATTCCCCCTCCTCAATCCATTTTGCTCTAGATCTGATAAAGGCTCCCCTAGCTCTTCTGGTGCTTAGTTCATCTAATTTAGTCTTTAGAGTCATGAAAACAGCTTTGTCCGAGTCCAACATAGGAGTTCTTTTGCAGTAGTCATCCAGATCCTGCACTAGTTTAAATTCTTGTTCTCTCATAAATCTACTCCGTTTGCCAAATTGTATGGAAATTTGTCTGACTTTATATTTAAAAAATTCCCATCTGCTGCAATAGTTACCAATAGATACATCATATTTTATATCTAACATTAATTTTTTTACCATATTACAGAATTCTTGACATTGAAGATAATCAGAATTAAATTTCCAGTAGACATTTTTTTTGTTCATTCTATTGTGCGGCTCTAAACGTAAAGATATTAGACAATGGTCTGTTAAGGGGGCACTAGAAATTTTTACATCAGAAACAGTTAGTCAACTGTGGAGCTGCCAACCATAAGTCTATCCTAGATCTACTAGCAGCATTAGGTTTAACCCAGGAGTATTGTCGAAGATTTGGATTTATATTTCTCCACACATCAAATAAGGAAAAAGTGTTGCAGAAGTCCAGTAATGTGATATTGTAATAAGTATCTGTAAATTTAGTGGGGTATCTGTCAAGGTATTCATCAGGTGCTAAATTAAAGTCTCCTCCAAATAAAATAAAATTAGTCGGGTATAGTCTTTTGTAGTTAGAAACAACTTCTGTAACATGTTGTAATAGAGCCCTATTTTGAGTGTTGTTGCTGTAACCATAAATGTTTGTTATAATAAAGTAAATGTCATCCATTTTAATCACTACAGTCAATGCCAATGACCATGTTCATCAGCAGCTTTATATGATATTCACATTACCCGGGGACACAGTGACTTTTAAAGTCTTTACAATACAAAAATATAGCTTTCCTCTTTACATTGTCTTTTAGACCCCTTGTATTAAGTGAAACTAAATTAAAATCAGCTTTCAAACGTCCATCAGCTGGAAAACCTCGCAGCAATAAAAAAAGAAAAAGTAAACTTAAGTAGTAGAAAAGTGTTTTAAGGTAACTGTAAACGTGGTTGCTCCCTCCTGAAAATGTTAACCCACATGTTATAATTTTAAGTAGAATATTCTGTACTTAGTCTTTAATTCGCCGACCATTGATGTATCCATGGGCCCCACAAAAAAGGCCTTCTCCCCTGCTTGACGTGCTTGGCTGATGCGGGCCACAGCGCTGCTCTCGCTTCCCTGTCCTCCTTTGTGAGGTCCTCCATGAAGCGAATGCCCGCATTTTTGCACACTGCAGAATCTTGGTCATCTTCCAGAAACCATCTCTGTGGTGACGCCTTGTAAATTGAATAATGATGTATCTCACCCTACTGTCTGTCTTCGGACCAATTCGGTGCACTGTATCCACGATATGCTCCATGTCTTGTGCCCACTGAGGGGCGATTTGTTTTAGGAGAGTAATGACCTCGGCCCTGGTGTCTTCATTCATAGTCTCTCTCATGCCTTTAATCCTGAGATTCCATCGTCTTTTAT